GTATCCTTTGACATGCAGAAATCAGCTGAAAGTATTTTTATATGATTGTTTAACAGGCTGGAGATTTTGGTAGTGCAGTGATGCCCAGCACTGGATGTAGCTACAAAGGCAGCTATTTCTCCCTCCATCAGATGCAATGCATGGATCAAATAATATGCTTGGAGAAAGGAGATGGTAGTGACAACAGAAATCAGATCCACCCCAGATGCTTCTGTGGTGCCAGAGAGGTCCCAGGTGCATCAGCCCATTGGCTTCCTGCCTTGCTGCTGCCACCTCACCATACCAAGCAGAGAGAGATTAATACATGAATAGATCACTACTGAGAAAGAAGAAAGCTTTATTATGTTTATGCTTGCCCTTACTTACTGCTGCTGCCAGAACTGAGATTAATGCCATAAATCCAGTGGTGAGTTTAGGAACTGCTGTTGAGGTTTCCCATTACCTCTGTGAGATGCTGTAGGAGCTATAGGAGTTATTTTCAAAGCAGTAGGGTTGCAGCGGGTGGAAGAGAATGGCATGGGGCATCTTGTAGGACTTGTTTTCATTGCTTTCAGCTTTGTCATACACCAGCTGCTTGGGTTAGAGTTCCTTGTGTCTCATACCTACCACCCTGGGCTGCAGGGGAAGGTGAGGAGGAGAAAGCATGGGTTCAATGAATGCTGGTAGGTGGTGGGATCTTGGGCATCAGGTGCAGACCTGGGGCACACACAGCTTGGGCCAAGAGACAGAACCCATGGAAAGGTGGGGAGATCTGCAGCCCTCTGTGCCCTGCACTGGGCTGTGCTTCCTTCCCAGTACCCATCATATCCACATATTCTCGACCACATGACATCAAAATTATTTGGGGATGGTTTTCAGGGGCTGCTGCAGACCGAGTTTCCAGGCTGCCCAGGAGATGGCAGTCCTGCATTCAGACGAGATGTGCAGGCAGTCCCCAGATGGCGCCCGACATTTACTGAAAAAAGAAATCTAAGTCGTAGGCTGTGTGTTTGGTTCTGCTGGGGAGGGAAAGGGCTCTGTCTGCAGTGACCGATGGTCTATCCTATTCTGAGCTGGACAAGAGACACTGCTGTTGGGAGGCGAGTCCTGGATGTGCAGCCCGGGAAGCACAGCTCTGGGTGCACAGCCCTTCACAGAGACTGCTGGAGATAAGCAGCAACAACTTGGGATCTAGTTCTCATCATCCTCCTATTCTACGGTACTGGTGAAGATATGCTACATACGGTGGGAAATTCAGGATTACTGCAATTTGTCTTTGCTCTTACAGATTAGGAGGCACTAAAATTTCTTTTATTTGGATTTCTTTGATGTTTGCAAGGCAAAAAGTTGAACCTATCAAGGAAACCCATGGTTGAACCAATCTCTGTTCTTTCTCAGCAAGGGACAGGTAACCCATGTGCCAGCCAATGTGCCACCTCCATGGGCACAAGCTGATGTGTGCCACCTCTCAGCTGCATGTCCTGGTCTGCAGCTTCAAAATTCCTCTTCCCTTTATTCTTCTCCTCGAAAGAAGCAATCAGTGTTAGTGTTAGTGAGGTGGTGCTGCACAGAACAATTGCAAGGAGACTTCAGATGGCAAGTGCACCACAAATAGAGCTGGTACTTGTGGAGACAGCTGTGCCCAGTGGGTGTTAATCAAAACCAGCATCTTCTCAGATGAGGAGTTCCCTGGCAAGAGAAATCAGCAAGGGAAAGAACTGACCTTCAAAGCAAGAATGAAAACTTGTCAGGATTGTTTATAGGGTAAAAACAGGGCTTCTCCTTTTCTACTGTAGTGGAAAAGGCTGTTGCAGCGCTCTGCTTGGCAGTGCGAAGAGTAGCAGTGGCAGTCATGCTGCTGAGCTATAAGCTCCCTTGGGAAATGAGGCCTCTTCATCCTTTTTCTCTTTAAAATCACAAAAGCAGCTCTAAAAGTCCCCTTATTTAAATTCCATTCTTTAATAAAAGCTTTGTAGTCTTTACTCTTTAAACTCAAGAAAATGTTTATGGTTACATGAAGTTAACTGAAGTTACCAGTTATTTCTTTGTCACTTTTCTAGTGGATGGCAAATGTTGTTCTTCAAACTTTTGCAAGTCTAAGATCTTCTTTCCAAATGTTTCTTTGCAAATGCATAAGATCAGTGCCTCTACGCAATCACCCAAAAATGAACATGAAATGACTCCATGTACAGACAAACATCAAAAACCTGCCTGGAGTGGTTACTGTAGAGAACCCATTTAGCAAGGATTCCCTCCCTGTTAGCTGGGCAAGTTGTTACTTTGAGATTCCTTTGCAAACTCAGGACAAGAAGGCAACCTGTTCTCCTGACCTATCAGTTCTTCCATTGTTGCCTTCCTCAGGCTGAGGGCTGTAAGAAGCACTGTCATGAACAGGCAGTTTTAAAGTTGGAAGATGTAGGTAAAGGAAATAGAAATGTTTGCATTCATCTGAAACAGCCTTCCTTTTAAATCCTGGCGTGACTAAAAGGATTTATGTGAACAAATGAATTGAATACAAGAAGGAGATAGAACTGCCTCTCGGAGGATGTTCTCATATTACCCTTCTATAGAGACAGAAGCAGAGCTGCATGTTGGACAGATGTGTATTTAGAACGTGAGTCTGGGGAGCTGGTGGCCTGCAGGAGCAGGCAGCCAGTGAAGTGTGCTGGAGCCATCCTGCTGGCTCCCAAACACAAGCTTTGGCTCGCAGATCTGCTGGCTTCCTGCACTTCCTTGGGGCATTTCCTATCTCCCTGGATGAACCCTTGAATACACGGGACTGTGGACACCATGTTATAGAATCACAGAATGTAGAATCACCAAGGTTGGAAAAGAGCTCTAAGACCACCCATCCAACAGTCCACCTATCACCAATATTTTCCTCTAAACCACGTCCCTCAGTACAATATCTAAACATTTCCTGAACACTTCCAGGGATGGGGATTGTTCAGCTGTTCTGAGGACCTGCACCTGAAAACTCTTTCCTCTTGTCTTTCTGCAGCATGACGAGTGATGAGCAGTTGTTCCTCTGTCACCTTCCCATTCTTCCCATGACTCAGCCACCTCTGCTCTTGCAGCTGCTGGCAGCCCCACTGTCCTGCAGCATCATTCCTGGGCTCATTGCAGGATCTGCCCTGTGTTGGGTGCCAGGGTTCCCACCCACCGTGCTCACATTTGCTGGGAGGGCAGCATGGGTCCCTCAGTGCATTGCACCTGGAGCTGCAGGTAGCCTGGATCCCATGTCTTTGTGATAAAAAGGAGAGAGCCAATTAATCCTGGAGTCAGAACAGCCACAGAAGAGAGACTTCAGGGAGGATTTAGCGAGCAGTGGCCCAGATACATCAAACCGTCTGCAGCATAACACAGTATCCCATTAGGGCTCCTCTTTGTGTAACAGCTTATGTTACTTATCCTATTAGATGACTGATGCTGCTTTGATGTATTCCAAGGAGACTGTGGTAAACTTTCTGCCATGGTTTTCCCAGGTGGATTTCTGCCACCTCTGACATGAGGTTTGTGCCCACAGGCAGGGTCCTGAAGTGAGGATGAGTTGTGTGGCTCTGCTCCTTCCCTTTGCTGCTGGAGGTGTTGTCCCCAGGTTTGCCAGCATCATCACTCTTTCCCTGTAGCACTGGGCAGGCTCCTTGCTGACTAGGGAGGCTACTTTGTTCTGCTGGGTCTGCTGGGTGCTGGCCTTGTGGTGGAGCTCTCCTGTCTCCAGCCTGGAGTTAATTCCGCTGATCCCCGGTTTCTTCCCAACAGCATGAGCTGTTCACCTCAACCAAAAGGTGGAGTGTTTAGCTAAACAAAATCCATTCTGAAATTAGAGACTGGCCTATTTCTGTTGGCATTACCTCATCCACTTCCTCCAGGTCTGCTTCATGCAGATCCCCACACATCCACTGCGGTTTTGCCATGCTGAGGGTCTGCTAGGCAAAATGAATTTGAACTTTGTTCACGCTGCAGCTGGGGCTTGGCTGAGCCCTGGCGGAGCAACAGGGCTGGAGCTGTTCTCAGATTAATGGGACAGAGCAGAAAGAAAAGTCACATTGCTGCCTACCAGCTGGGAAGCTGTGAGATGCAGCCTTGACCTCAAATAGTTCCTATCTGCAGGCAGAGAGAAGGGAAGAGGCTGCTGTGATCAAGTGCTGGAGCACTGCAAAGCAAGTGATGTTTTGTTAAACTGATAAAACCTGGCACCCACATCGCTGCAGGGCTGCGCATACTGTGAGTGCAGATGAAAATTCACTGGCTTGGAAGTAAAAGGGTGTTAGAAGTGCCTCTTTGGAAGATGGCCGCGGGGTGACATCTGTATCATCTTCTTCTGTGCGTGGGCTTAGAATGTGAAAGATATTTCTGGAGAGCTGAACCTTACCAATAAAGATGGCTAGCTCCAACAACCAATAGAGCTGGTGAGCTCTGACAACCATTGAGATGGTAAACTCAAACAACCTGATGTCGTGTCCTTGTGAAACGATCACTCCACAGTGACCTCACATCTGCTGTGCTGTGGGGTGATGCACACAAACCCAGTGAGGAGAGTCCATCCAGGAGAATGTGGCAGAAGTTTGGATGTGGAATGGCACCAAAGCTCAGCATAGTTGCTGCACTGGAGTGCCATTAAACATAGTTTGGGATGTGCAGATAACCCTGCAAAGCTGGAGGACAGTGCAGTGGTCAGCGTGAAGGAAGAGGGAGGGATATAACTGGAGATCCCAGCCAACATTTTGAATTTTAACCCCAGTAAGATTCCGTCATACTCAGCCCAGTGCCAATGCCACTTTTCATAAGTCGCATTCCAACCTGTCCCTCTGCTGGGAGAAAGAAGAGGACAGACTCTTCAGGCAGATCTGTTGTGACAGGATAGGGGGAATGGTTTCCAACTAAAAGAGGGGATGCAAGGAAGATTTGTGCAGTAAGGGCAGTGAGGCACTGGCACAGGTTGCCCAGAGAGCCGATGGTGCCCCATCCCTGCAGACAGCCAAGGTCAGGCTGCAGGAGCACAGATGGAGCTGTGGGTGTCCCTGTGCTCTGCAGGGAGTGGGACCTGATGGCCTTTAGGGGTCCCTTCCAACTCCAGTGATGCCCTTGGCAGAGGAAACTGTCCAAGGAAACAGGAAAGGACGATGGTACAGGAAAGTGCTGCAGCACTCCTGCAAAAAGGCACCAGTGCTGCAGAACATGTGCGGATAAGAAGGCAAGCTTTGCCTTCTGAATTAAGGTTCGGGAAATAGCAATATGGTCATAAATATTGCTTTTAAATAACTGCGCTTGCAGGCATTGAATCCACTGAAACCTAAGAGGAAGGAGAGGTTCCTCCATGAGTGAGATTGGAACCAAAAGCCCCTTCGTCATCGTGAACATGCTCATAGAGCCTGTTGGTTATCACAAGAACTTAGTTCTTGCCCATACTCAGGTGATAGTAGATTTTTGAGCTCTATCTTCCCGATACATTAATGTTTGCTTTAAACAAATCTAATCCCACTTTAAAATGCCATAAGAAAACACAGAATGTGGCATTTATATCGCAGTAAAATTTTATGTGTGTTTGCACAACTACTTGACAGGACAAACATTGGTGTTTCCTTACGGGATGCGCTTTGAGGTTTCTTGTGGGGAAATGGGACCACTCACAGCTCACAGCTGGGAGACAGACACTTCCCCTATTGCAGATGCTCCAGAGGCCAATAAGGAAAAGGAAATTGTCAAGATATACCTGGCAATTGAGAGATACCTGTACAATAGGGGATTGTATCTTGCCATCAGTACACAGCTCCTCATCCTCTCTGCAGTCACACTGGGGATCGACTCCCTCTGAATTTGTTGCTCCAGCACTGTGCAGGTGTGCGAAGCAGAGCCTGTGCTGGTGGGTGAGCTGCCCTATGGCTATGGGCATGGTGTCTTTGGGGAGCAGACTGAGTCCTGGAGAACTCATTCTGTCATTTTTCTTAGCTTGGATTTTGGCAGAGAGAGCAATTCCAGGCACACTGTGTCCTTCAGAACTCTAAAAGTTTGTTATCTCCTTCATGATCCTCCATGGGTCAGAGACTCCTGGCTCCTCAGATGGGACTTCTGTGAGCCTGGCGTGGCTTCATGGCCACCCCAGTGATCACAGATCTGGGTGACTTGTGGTATTCACATGGATCCATCAAGAACCATGGAATGATGAGCATGGGATAATGTCCCATCCCTATCAGAGATGCTGTTCAACCATCTCATCTATGCAGAAGTGTGTCATGACAGAAAGTGATTTTGAAACATCATGTAAGAGATCATGCAGGTGGGAAAACATCCCATTTTTTCATTCACACAGTAACTTTCTGGAAATCCTGTCCATCTCCCTGGTTGCTCTGATCCAATGGCTGAGCTGCAAGCTAGTGCCTAGGAACAGCTCTGGAGATTTCCTGAGGAGATCTGGACTTCTCCATGCAAGCAACACAATTCAGTTCTGCACACTTCTGCCTAAGGAGCAGGAGATTCTCCTGGCACCAGGTGCTCCCCAGGGTGATGCTTGGGATCTGAGAGTGGGACACAGTCTCGTGTTTCAACTGGCCCCTGATATGAGGTAGATGGTTTCCACCATTGTTTTGGTTCTGCTTCATGCCTGCTGGACTCCCACTGAGCTACACAACATATTCGTTCCAGAAGAAAGCAGGGATCTCACTGGTGTCACTGCACCCAGCTCCTCGCCACCTTAGCACGGATCCAGCAGGAGAGACCCTGGTGTGACAGGGGACTGCACTGAGCGGGGCTGCATCTCCAGCATGAACACTGCAGAAGTGACAGGAGGAAGCTGAGCAAACATCTCAGAAAGCAGTTGGTGGTATGTGCACAGGGAGCCTTGTGTGGCACATGGGGAAACGAACTGATGAGCTTTTCTAAGGACTTGCTTGCCACTCTGCAGCTGGACGATATTTGCTCTGGTCCTGATAAAGGCTCTTATCAGAGCAGATCAATCTGCCTGCTGTGGGGAAATGCCCGTTTGGATTACAGCCCTGTTACCAGCAGTCATCTGTGTGCCCCAAGGCGAGCACAGGACCGGCCCTGGGGGCAGCGTCAGCCGCACTCCTCCCCAGCACCTGCAGCTATAAATCCTGTGGTTCAAAGCGTGTCTCCAGACACATCCTGGGCTTCTGAGTGTCCCTGTGGAGGCAGCATGGGTGAGTGTGAGTGTGAAGAGCAGGGTGGGTTGCTCCCTCAGGACCCACCGCACCAGCTGAGCCCTCCCTTTGCTCCTGTGGATGGAGGACTGGCTGCCAGGGCAGAAAGACGGCACCAGGTACTTCACACCAGCAGTGGAACTGTGCTCTACACTCACCTTGTCCCTTCTTCCCACAGCTTCCCAATGTGCTCCCCTCCTGCTGCTTGCCTGTGTGGTGTCCCTGCCTGCCCTGAGTCTCGTTGGTGCTGCCCAAGACCTGACCCTCCTCAGTCGATCTGTTTCGAATAGCAGTCCATCAGCTCTCAGCATGCTGACAGATGGTAGGTACACGAAAGGCCTTCATCTTTGCAGGCAGAACCCTGCTCGGACCCCATGCTCAGGTGTCCTGCCCTCTCTCTGTGTCTGGTTAGGATGGGGAAGGTTAGTCCTGAAGGGAGGTGGAAGTTGGGCTGGCTCAGTAAGCAGGTCAGAAATCCTCTGCTGGTCGCAGTGGTATGGAATAAGGCAAATTGGGTCCAGAAATAGCACAAAGTGCCACCAGCAGTAGAGAAGGATGACTGATACCCATTTGGCTGGAGGCACAGATTGCAATGCCATGCCCAATCTCTAATGCGGCAAAAATATTTGGAAATGGGAACTTTAGAAGATAAAGGTGCCTTCTCCAGCCAGAAGGTGTTAAGACTCTACATCTTACTGCTTGGGCTCCAGTTCTGAAGACAGAAAGCATCTCCTGATCTGAGTTCCAGCTTTGCTGGATCTCCCCTGCTATTTCCAACTCTTCTCCCTGCTGTTGGTTTCCATGTTACAGGTAAGCTCCGGCTGATGAACGGCTCCAAACCCTGCTCTGGACGGGTGGAGGTGTGGTACCGCAATGAGTGGGGAACAGTGTGTGACGACAGCTGGGACCTGAAAGATGCCTCTGTGGTCTGTAGGCAGCTTGGCTGTGGGGAAGCAGTGTTAGCTCCATCTCAAGCTTTTTTTGGAAGTGGATCCGGACCTATTTGGCTGGATGATGTTAACTGCATTGGGAACGAGAGCCTCCTCACTCAGTGCGCGATGAGGGCCTGGGGACAACACAATTGCAGGCACAGCGAGGATGCAGGCGTCGTGTGCTCAGGTAGAGTGTGCTGCTCTGTGCCCCTTTCTAATATCCAACTGCAGGTGTGCTATGGGATGCACCTCTGTCTTTTTGATGGGGTCTTATTAGATTCCCCTCCCTCCTGCACACTGGCCAGCATGGGGTGGGTTCAGTGCTGTGTGTTCCTGTGCCACTCTGTGTGGAGAAGGGCCTCACAGCACCTCTCACCCCCGATTCCACTCCAGGTTTAATGCTGGCAGAGGTGAAGAAGTGCCCAGCACAAGCTGCAGTGATCGTGTGTGTGTGTGTATGTGCACCATGCAGGTGATGAAGGCACCTGTGTGCTGGCAGAGGCTGTTCTTCTCTCCCCTCAGCTACAGGAAGGGGCAAGGTCCTTTTCACGTCCCTGTCCAGTCCAACTCTGTTTTAGCCACAGCCCTTTCAGCATCCGTATTGTTCTCCTGGTCTGATACCAGCATGGTCCAGTGGGACTGGGGCCCTTCCCTTGGGGTCACCTCCTGCCAGGTTCTGTCAGGGAAGACGAGCAAAGGTCTGAGGCCAACCCAGTCGCACTGTCAGGAGAATACATTGAGCTCTCTGGGCTGGGACAGCTGAGAATCTGCGAGGTGCTCTGGCCAGTTGTCCATCTGTCCTTCCACAAGATGAAGCATGCTCTTTTTCTGTTGCACAGCCTTTTGTTAAAGCACCCTCTCTCCTGCCGCAGGTTGGCCCAAGGACTGCAGTGAGATTTCTGCAGGCAGCCCCAGTGGCGTCTACATCATCCAGCCCTCAGGGCTCCACCCCATCGTGGTGTACTGCGAGATGAACGTGACAGACGGGGGCTGGACGGTCATCCAGAGGAACCGCTACAACACAGACATCACCTGGGCCGAGTCCTGGAGCACCTACAAGTACGGCTTTGGGAACGTGCGCGGCGACTACTGGCTGGGCACCGAGTACATCCACCAGATCGCCAAGCAGAAGGTCTACCAGGTCAGGTTCGTCATCCAGGATGCCTCCAACAACATCAGGTTCGCAGAGTACAACCTCTTCAGTCTGGACAATGAGTCCCACGGCTACCGGCTGCGGCTGGGCTCCTACACAGGCACAGCAGGGGATGCCATGAGTGCCAGCACCACTCATGACAACATGAAATTCTCTGCTAAAGACTTGGATCAGGACACTAACAGTGGGAACTGTGCCTCCTCCTACGGGGGTGGGTGGTGGTATTCGTCCTGTTACTCCGTACGGCTGAATGTCAAGGGTGCCATAACATGGAGCGGTCTGTGCAATGGCAACTGCAGAGCTTCTGCCATCCTCATCAAACCAACTACCTACTGCTAGTGCTTGTCTGTCCATCCATACCAGGCACGTTGCCTGGGTTCGCAAGAGATTTTTTCATCTCTTTTGCGGAGTTGCTCTGCTTCCCTTGCTGGGTTCTTCCTCTGAGCTGTTATTATCTTGATTGCACTGTAATCAGAATAGCACATTGCCAAACCTGTCCTTCTGAAAACACATTGCTTTGGAGAATAAAATGTACTTTAGAAACACCTTGATGATCACTGGGTTTACATGGGTTTACATGGGAAGATTTTGATAATGAGGGGGCTGCAGGGGGTCACTGCGAGCAGGTCTGAGGGGGAGCAGGCTGTTTCCCTGCAGCCTGTAGGCTCCAATAGGAGCAGATCTTCAGGTGCATCCATGGAAGAGCCCACATGAAGCAGGGGCAGTGGGGGAGCGGTAGAGATGGGGAGAAAGACTTTTTTCTTCTAGTCTGTTGCTAACAAGAAGAGATAAATCACATTAATCTCTTTCACACTGAGTCTGTTATGCCCGTGACATTAACTGGTGAGTGACCACAGAATGACTCAGGTTGGAGCAGATCTTTAAGCCCAATCCAGTTCCAACCCCTGCTGTGGGTTGGGTGCCTCCCCAGCTCAGGCTGCCCATGGTCCATCCACGGCCTGGGGCACCCTCACTTTTCCCTATCCTTATCTCAATCTATAAGCTTTCTTGTTCATCATGTTTTCACCCCCTGCACTGTTAATGAGGGAAAATGAAAGAGCAGCAAGATGGAGCTGAGCTGCCCATTAATGTGAAACTCCCACAGCATCCTGAGGAAAAGGTCCCTACTCTTCACTGTGTGACTGTGTGGGTCCTTTCTCCAGCATTTATGTCACCCTCTCATTAGCTGGGGGAGGGATAAAGCCTCCTTATTTCCTAACTTGAACTAACTCTGCTTGCAGTCTGTTGCCTACCCTGGGTCTCACTTTTCCCTGAGACTCACAGCACCACCCCCCATGCCTGGCACTGGGACCACCAGGGATGGATCCATGGCACAAACCCCCTCCTCCTGCCCTGGACACCTAGAGGCCCCTCAAGGCTCCCTGATGCTCCCCAGGACCACTTGCATGTATGTGCGCAGTGTAGACACAGCAAGAAGACAGGAGGCAGCAAATTCTGGCTCTGGAATTTATTGCAGCTGATTTCTGACACCATGGGTAGCACTTATGGGACTGAGGAGCGAAGGGAACCGGGCTGGGGATGGAGGTACTCCCCCTACCTTTGGCACAGTCAGCACACATCGGTGGGCTTGACCAGGATGAGGGATGATGTGCAGTCGCCTCTCGGGCAAATTCCTGGCCAGAGGATGTACTTTTTGCCATTGAGGAGGACATTCTGGCACTTGTCGTACCACCACCCCCCGTAGCTGTTGGCACAGTTCCCGCTGTGCTGGTCCTGGTCCTTGTCCACCGTGCTGAACTTCATGTTGTCGTGGATGCCCGAGGAGTGGTAGCTGGCCAGGTAGTCTGTCCCGCTGCTCAGGAGCCGGCCCAGCCTCAGCGGGTATCCGCTGCTCTCGCTCTCCACTCTGAAGATGTCGTACTCGGCATAGTGGGTGACGTTGGCTTTGTCCCGCACAACGAAGCGGGCCTTGTAGGTGCCCTGCTGTGTCAGCAGGTGCAGATACTCGGTGCCCAGCCAGTGGTCGCCCCGCACGTTCCCGAAGCCATACTTGTAGGTGGTCCAGGACTCTTTCCATGTGATCTCGGTGTTGTAAGTGTTTCTCTGGACAACAGTCCAGCCCTTGCCTTCGGTGTCCATGTCACACCACACCACGCGGGGGGGCGACTGTGCCGGCTGGATGACGTACACCCCGCTGGGGCTGCTGCTGGCAAGGTGGCTGCAGTCTGCGGGAAACCCTGAGACAGCAAATCAAGCAAGACATGCATTGCAAAATGTGCTGGTAAGGCACTGTGGTGCAGCTGGACTGGTGCTACAGGTGCTGGATTTCAATGGGCGCTGCACCCCACCTGTGGCACCTGTTGGGAACAGCTCTTCTCTGCTGGTGACAAAAGACAAGAACCAGCCTCCTCTGCTGCTCAGGTTTGAATGGAATGGAGATGCTTGCACCCAGCAGCTGGCAGCACGGCTGCTCTCAGCAGCACACAGAGTGGTGCACAGCAAACCTGGGGGCTTCTCAGCTTGCTGGGAGCACCCACACCCCTACTCACCAACCAAGGCCGTGGCACACACTGGGCTGGTGCAGAGAAGAAGCATCACCACCACCACAGGCAGGAGGACAAGGTTCGCATGGAGCTGGCGTGTCTCAGCCTGCAGCCCTGTGGAGGGAAAGGTGCAGCATCATCAGGACTCCTGGGCAGCCCCCGTCCCTCGGCGGCCCTGCGGAGCTCTGACCAGGGAATGCAGAGCTGCAGACATGGAGCAGGACAAGTGGGCTGGGAGATGACTTCCTCATCCCCACAGCCAGCCTCCTCCCTGCACCTCACTGCAACCTGCGGTCACGGCTTCTTCTGTTCCTCCTGGTAGTTTTGTTCGTCTTTGTTTTCTATAGGGCTAGGGGTAAATAGGCATTTTTTTGCAAATAATCTGTGCTAAGCACATTCAGGGCAAATAGTTTGAAGCACTGCAGCTGAGCTTGCTGTATAGAACTCACTGCTCCAGATGCAGAACGTGCACTCCATGGGGACACTGCAGTGGCAGCAGCAGAGAAGAGAAAATAAATGAGCAGGTGGAAATGGGAGGACAGGACCACCTGTTCTGGCTTCCATGGTTCCCCACTGCTGCCACTTAGCTTGATCTATTGCATCCCCTGCTGTGTGGCAGGACTGTGCCTGAAGCTGGAAGCACTCAACAAAATGAGCTGTTGGAAAGAAAGAGAACTCACCCATTGCCATAGTGCTGCACGGGTACCAGGAGCCTGAGCAGTGAGTACTGCAGTTCTGAGCTCCATGCAAGGGTCAGCCCCTTTATAGCTGGGTCTGTCCCAGTGCACACCCTGTCTATTTCTCATGTGCCCATCTGGAATCTTCTCTTTGCTCAAGGTTACACAAATAGGTCATAAATTTCTTTCTGTTAAAAAACAAAGTGTTCCTTGCCTCCCAGCTGTGGGGCATTTATCAGATGCAGTTCAGCGGAAGTGTTCCAAGTGTTGTATCTCTATAGGAATCTAACAGTTGTTGAGCTAAAGGAGATGAAGTGTGGGGGAAAGTCAAACAGAAGGGAAAGGATGTGAAAATAGAAGGAACCGAGTGCAGAAAGTACCACGATTAGCGGTAGCACACATTGTATGGCATGCGGGAATTAGAGTGTAAAACCCACGGGTGGTGGTTTCCCAGCAGCTGCTGGGTAGCAGCGTGTCACAGCCCTGTGATGGCACCAGATCCGGGGTCAGGCACAGAGCTGGGCTGCACACACTCCCTGCCTCTTTGTGCCCGCCATGGTAGATGCTGAGGGCTGAAGGCAGCAGCCCACTCTCCAGAGGCATCCCTACCCCCAGAAGTGCTTTGGGCAGCTCTGAGCACAATACTTGGTCCCTCAGCAGCACCCTTTTCCTGCACGTCCCTTCCTTCTGCGTACATTTTGGTGGCAGCTCAGGGGGCTCTGCTGACTGCCAGCTCTTCTCATTGCACGCAGTATGGGCACTGCCCAGCAGTGTTGTGCAGGCTGCAAGTGCTCTGGGAGAGCATCCTATATGGTCCGGGAATCCATATGGGATATGAGGTCCTATATACATTCACAGAACTCTTCAAGCAGCAGTTAGAGCCAGCAGGACCACATCAGGTCCGGTTAACAAGTGAGAGGTCTCCCTTGTTTCACAAAAGCTCTCAAGGCTGCGTTGGAGTCTCCTTTAGTACAGCATATTGTGCGGTGCCAGCAGGTCCTCACCTCAGATACCGTATGTTGCTTTGGTGCTGAGGTGTGAGGACATAAAGCAACCAGAGATTGGCTGAAGGAGGGCAACTAGGAGAGCATGAAGCATCTGGAGAGGTTCTGCCATGCAGCCTGGGCCAGGGAATGCCTTCAAAGGGTTTGGTGTCAAATCCAGTAAGTAATAATGCTCCTAATCTGGAGCATTTGCCAGTTTGGTGGAGTGTTGTGCAAACATGGGATGCTGGTTGCTGGCTGGTTTAGGATCTCTTATCACAGTAAGGTACAGCTGGGGAATGAACAGCAATGCTGACACACGGAGGGCAAACAAACCATCCTTTTCCAGCCAGGATGATGATGGAAGGCGGAGCCCACCCTCCGAGCCCCATATAAGCACGCTGCCACCAGGCCAGGCACCCCGGCTTCCCACTCCACAGGGACCCTGCAGCAACATCATGGGTGAGTGCGTGCTGGGCGCTGTGTGGATGAGCATCCCCTGCGCCCTGCCTCCTCTGGGCTGCTGCCCGCTGCTGGCTGCTGGCTGCTGGCCCTGGGCTGTGGGTCAGCGCAGTTCCTGCTGCACACCCACCCTCTCTCTGTCACCCTCCTGCTCCTCACGCTCCCTCCTCTGTTCCTGAGCACTGTTAAACCCATCCTGCACTGCGCTGTGTTGTAAAGTGGCTTATATTTGTACCCAGAGTATCGAATGTGTTATAAACAAAGCAGAGTGGAAGCTAGTTGAGGTGTTTAGCAGCCGTCGGCCTGAAGCCTTTTAGGGCATGGGAGCAGGGCAGGCAGGCTGCAGGTGCACATATATGGGGCTGGCCGTCAGCAAGCTGTCAGGGAACCTCCTGATCTGACACAGTCTGAAGGAGTCTGACTGGCCAGATTCCCAAATGATCCTCATTTGACTGCAGAACCCATGGAGTCCTGCTTTGGCCAATGCTACAGCTGAACAGTGTGACTCCATCCTTGGAAGCTGCACTTTCCAGGACCTGTAGGCTGCAGACAGTTGCATACTTTTGCGGAATGTTGCTTTTCAGGAACCGTTATATTTCTGCCCCTCGGTAAAGCAAAGCCATAATTAATGCTGTGGCTTTGTCTATTCTATGAGTTTGTTCTAACATTTGCTGAGTTTATTTATCCAAAGCTCCCTCACCAGGAAGGCTGGGTTTGCACCTTCACTCACTGTGTGTGCTCTCCCTGCAGCTGCTCATCACTCCGGCCTCCTGCTCTGCATCTGCCTGCTGGCCCTGCTTGCCCCTCTTCATGCTGCGGAGATTGAAAACTTGACAAGACTGAAAGCAAATCTATCTGACATTCTTAATCTCCGCTCAGATGGGCACCATCCTGGTATGTGTTTTCTCTCTTACACCCTTGAGCATTGTTCATCTGAACACAGGGAGCTTCCTGATCCCCGCACAGAGGGGAGGTGTGGAAAGTAACGTTGGCGAAGGGCAGACATGCTCAGAAAGAACAGGAGCCCAATCATATCTTCCTCCCATTTCAGATATTCTCTACACATTGCATGATCTGGAAGTTCAGCCTTCTTTATTATTGACAAGATGTACATGGTAGCTTTATCTAGAGACCTGCAGATATTCAAAGGAAGACCTTTTCTCTGGCTATCTGCAGTCCATCTAAACCCCTGAAATGTCACCAGGGATGGTCAGATTGGATATTAGGAAAAATCTCTTCTCCAAAAGAGCGGTGCTGCAGTGGCACAGCTGCACAGGGAGCAGAGGGGTCCATGGAGGTGTTCCAGGGCCATGGGGATGTGGCAGTGAGGGACATGGGCAATGGGCATGGTGGGGTAGGTTGGGGTTGGGGATCTTGTTTTTTCCAGCCTTAATCCTTAATGATACTGTGATTCTATGGAACTTCAGGTTTCAGTCACCAACCAAAATGCATTCTGAAGATTGCTCATGGCTAAATGGTGTAATAAATGAGTCATATCAATAACAGAGGTCACAACATTGTGGGTGTTCGAGGAATACAGATTTATGAATATGGATGCTGTGATTTCTTTATAAAGAAAGCACTGCCATCACTTTGCTTTGAGTTCCTGTTCCTATCAGAAGGTTTTCAAAGCATTCTATAAACTGAACACATGAACCCCTTCAGTCTGCACTGAGGAGCTGATGACTTCAGCTTGGGGGGTTACAGCAACATCACTCAGCAGTTTTATCTAATTCCACGCAGTCTGTTTGCTTCTCAGTCCCTCTCCTCCAGCAGTCTTTCCCTGTACTCATCACTGCTGCTCTGGTGCAGTCCACACCAGGCAGCTCTGCGAAGCCATAATGCCGAGTGGACCAAACAGTGCAGCTCAACAATTCATCCTCTGCAGTTTTACCCTTCCCAGTGTCTCATTCCTTTGAAGAGTTTACAATGCAAAGCTACAATATAAGAAGAAAATGGAGCTGGGTGGCACTGCTGAAGTATCCTACAAACAACAGTGGATAATAACAGCCTGTGGAAGCTGGAGTTACTTCTGTGCCATGGCACAGGTCTGCCCAGCTCACACCTTTTGCTTTTCCCAATGCAGGTGAAGATGAAGGAAACACGCGGCGTGAAAGAGCCAGTGGGACAGGTGAGCACAGACAGCCCGTTCCCTGCAGGGTTCTGGCACTGGGAGGTGCAGGCAGCGAGGGTCAAACAGCAGTGGGTGGGCACAAACCTGGGAATAGCATGGCTCATCTCCCGTGGGGCAAAACTCAGTGCAGAATTTTATTTAGAATGGTTCCTTCTGGGATCCCAAAGGACTCTCCAGCCCTTACGTATACGTCATGCATCCTCTTCTGTCCTGTGAAGCTCTGCACGGGGCAAGCAGAGGATGCACCTCCCAGGCTATGCCAACAGGAGGAGGTTGTCCCCTCCCTGAACCCAGAGATGAGGTGGATCTCAGAGCTGCAGGAGCAGCACACTTTCTCATTTAAGTTTCTATAAAATAATGTAATAAAAGCCCTCACCAGGCTAAGCTTGAGCCCCTGTATTATTAGAAGGAAGGAGAATTGTGAAAACTGGGAAAGGCTGAGGAGACAAAGATCTGAACAAAGAAAGAGAAGCAAATTCTCTGATTACATGGCCAAAATGCATTCATGTTTTTTTAATCACTGTCTTTCCCATACAAAGGTTTTCTGTTCATGCACTTACAGTGGGAAACACAGTGACAGCCTTTTTACTACCCTGGCAAATTTCCACATCCACAAATTTTTTAGCAATCGGTCTCACAGAAGCCAACAAGCAGACTGGGTGTCACCCTGCCTGTCGCTTCTCTGTGTTTTAATCCGCCGCAGGTTGGCCCAAGGACTGCAGTGAGATTTCTGCAGGCAGCCCCAGTGGCGTCTACGTCATCCAGCCCTCAGGGCTCCACCGCATCGTGGTGTACTGCGAGATGAACGTGACAGACGGGGGCTGGACGGTCATCCAGAGGAACCGCTACAACACAGACATCACCTGGGCCGAGTCCTGGAGCACCTACAAGTACGGCTTTGGGAACGTGCGCGGCGACTACTGGCTGGGCACCGAGTACATCCACCAGATCGCCAAGCAGAAGGTCTACCAGGTCAGGTTCGTCATCCAGGATGCCTCCAACAACATCAGGTTCGCAGAGTACAACCTCTTCAGCGTGGAGGATGAGTCCCACGGCTACCGGCTGCGGCTGGGCTCCTACACAGGCACAGCAGGGGATGCCATGACTTCAGCCAATTCCGCTGCTGTGCATGACAACATGAAATTCTCTGCTAAAGACTTGGATCAGGACACCAACAGTGGGAACTGTGCCTCTGCCAATGGGGGTGGGTGGTGGTTTTCATCCTGTTACTCCGTGCGGCTGAATTTCAAGGGTTACTTGACGTGGAGCGGTCTGTGCAATGGCAACTGCAGAGCTTCTGCCATCCTCATCAAAACAGCGCCCTTCTGCTAGCTGCATTTCATTTCTGTCCAACCTGTGGCTAAGAATAACCTGGCAAAGGGATGGAAAAGGCAAAATGTGTCATGGCCAAACCAGCTGCCTCTGTTCATCTTTGCTGAGGTTGTTTTTATCCCAGCTACTGAAGAAAATAAGCCGTCCCCCACTTCTCCCTCCTGTAGGTATCTTCTGCTCCTCAGTTCAGCCTTTATCCTTTTGCTCAGATCCAGGTCATTTTAATTGTGTTAATAATCAGAATAGTTGCTCCCAAAACCCGGAGTTTCCAGACGTGCACTGTGTCTCAGATAAAATGTGAAACAGCTGAACTCCAATGCATCTCTATGGCTGTGTGAGCTGATTGACACCTTTAACTTCAGGCAAACAACACGACTTTCAGTTAGAAAAAGATTAAAATTTCTTGATCAGGATCGCACAAATTCCCACTCTTTGCCTTCTGTACTTCAGGCTTAACACTTGTTAAGTATCAAAATAAATCTGTATTCAAAGAACTATTCCAAGTGTTTACATCTATTTCAAGTCTCTGTTGTGCTCACAGAGGTCACTTGTTCAAAAGCTTCCCCTGCTGAAGCTCTGCTTTCCCATAGGACAGGCATTTGGGAAGGAGCTCTGAATTAACAGCTTGTGTATGCTGTGCTGCAAAAGCCAATGAAGTTCAGCCACTGGAGATGGGAGGGGATGGGAAGCCAAGAGTCTGCATGAGGACTTCTCTCACCTTCAAAACAGAGGGCTTTGTGAGCTGTGAGGTGTGATTGGACCCATCTGCACACATAACATTTAGAGCAGCTTTTAAGGATTTCAGTTGCACACAAAATGATTGTCCTGCTGGAAGAACCGACCACGTGGTCCTCCTGGCTGTGTGCTCTGCCCTCCCCTCCAAGCAGTCAGTACCCACGTGTACCTTGCCATCTTCAATCTTAAGCTGCTGTCTAATGATAAAGCTTTGTTAAATCACTACATGTCTTTTGGGTCCTCTTCAGTGAAATAAAGCAAGATAGAGCGAGTTGTTTTTAATGAGCTGCTTTGTTTGTCTGCAGTCTGGAAAAGCAGATGTGTCATTGTGAATGGCTTTAAATGACAGCCCCAAATCCCGGGTGCACCCAGTGCAGGGTCAGGGAGCTCGGAGGTGCAGAGCTGCCCTGCTGCTGTGGACAAGTGAAGCACATGGCAGAGGAAAGCTTTGTGTTGCAGGGCATGCAGCACCAGATACATCAGGTCGGTCCTCTGAGCATAAAATAGCCTCAAATATGCTTCAGAGTTACGGCATGGACCAATAGAAAGCTAGAAGGCTTTGAGCTGGTTCCATCCCCTTTGTCAGTCACTCCTGGATGCAGCCATTCCATCCATTACACCATCAGCCCACCGGTGCAAAGCAGCGTTTCCCATACAAATCACAGCTTGTATTGGTCTTCAAAGGATCAGTGTGTTCCTTTCTTTGAAGGAAGATGCTGCTGTGCTCCCTAAAGTTTCTGCTGTCCCCAGAGAAGCCCAGCCGCCTCGTCCTGCGGCAGCACTGATGTCACGGGGCGCGCTAAGACGTGAAGGCAGTGACCAAGAAGTGATTTGAGCAGGGAGTTTTGTTGCTGACTCCTCTCCGGTCTCCAGAGGGTGCCCTTGTCCCGGGGCTTGCCAGGCGGCCTGGGGCGTGAAGGAAGTGTGGCTCTGCAGGGATGGGCAGGGAGAGCCACGAGGTATTGCCTGGCCGTTCGGCTGCGGGTTACAATTTGCTCTTCTGTTTGCCCTGCTCTGTTCTACTGGTGCAGGGTGGGATACGTGGGAGAGTAAGACTGAGACCGCTGGAGGAAGAAAACACAAGAATTACATTGCACAGGTGTCAGAATTCTTTCCAAGAAGAGAAAATATAACCGTCTCTGAATTAGGGTTTCCCAGCCCTTTCCTGGAGAAGGAATGGACCTGCACCTTCCTCCATAAGGCCTTGCTGCTCTCTCAGTTGATACTCTATTTTCTGACCCATTTCCTTCTTTCTACCCATCTCATCTCCAAGAGCAACGTGATCCCTTCTCTTCCTCTCTGGGGATGCTGCACTGTCAGCCTCTCTGTGGCTCTGCAGTGTTCTCTCCAGCATGCCCAGGTCTCCCTGCACTGCAGGACCCAGAACTGCACACAGGTCCCCAGGTGCAGCCCTACCAGTGAGGGGACCTCCTCACTTCCCCGGCACTTGGCCGCAGTGGAGCAGAGCCTGCCTGGGTGCCAGGACTGTTCAGTGACTTTGGAGTTTGTCCTAAGATTAAGGCCTTAATGTGACCCATATAACAAAGCATTGAGCCATTGGACTGCTGTCTAGGCAGCAAAACTGTAGCACTGCCTCCTGCTTTCACTTTCTCTATCCTCTGCTAACTGAGTTCTGGGTGATAATGGCTTCTGGGATACTTGTTGGCATTTTTTTTAATTAGAGAAAATCCTGAGAAATGGGTAACAATGGTCAGAGTGAGCCATTTGAGGTAAGCATGGCTGCTGCTGTGTCACTTTGGAGATCCAGCCTTCCCAAATGAACGTTTTCACAGCAGTACTGTGGATGATGGTGCTCTGGAAGCACCACTCTGAATCCTCAGCTCCAGATATGGGGCTGTGTCAGCAACACCTTCACAGACTTCACAGACTTGTAAAATCGGAGAGTAATAGAATGGGTTGGATTGGAAGGAACCTCAAAAATAATGTTTCCAACTCCCTGCCACAGGCAAGGTTGCCAGCCACTAAATTGGGCACCAGCTGAGGCTGCCCAAAGTCCATCCATGGCCTGGGGCACCTCCAGGGATGGGGCACCCACAGCTCTGGGCAGCAGTGCAGCACCTCACTGCCCTCTGAGTGAAGAATTTCCATCTCACATCTAACCTACATCTCATCTCTTTTAGTTTAAAGCCATTCCCCCTCATCTTATCAGCCAGATACAACCAGCATGGCACCATCTCTTTCACTGTCTGCCTGCCAAGGAAGAACTTCTGCAGGTGCTGCTGGATGGGCTGCATCCCTGTGCCACGTGCCAGCTTCACGTAGCCCACTCTTGGAATATTAATCATAGCTCCTCTCACTAGCTTCAGTGCATGCAATAGAAAACAGAGTGTGAGTTTGGAGAGAATTGCCTGAGGATAGGAAGGCCCCACAGAGGGATGTGGACAGGCTGATCGATGGCCTGAGGCCAACGGGATGAGCTGCAACAGGACCAAGTGCTGGGTCCTGTGCTTGGGTCACAACTGCCCCATGCAGAGCTATGGGCTTGGGGCAGAATGGCTGGAAAGATGCGTGGAAGAAAAGGAGCTGGAGGTGTGAGCTGATACCCACTGACCATGAGCCAGCAGCATGCCCAAGGGGCCAAGAAGGCCAATGGCATCCTGGCTTGTGTCAGCAGTAGTGCAGCCAGCAGAGCAGGAGCTGACCATTCCTCTGTGCCAGCCCTGGTGAGGCCACACCTCAGTGCTGTTCACTGCAAGAAAGACGTGGAGGCCCTGGAGTGTGTCCAGAGAAGGAACAGAGCTGTGAGGGCTCTGGAGCACACGTCTGATGGAGCTGGGATGGGTCAGTGTGGAGCAGAGACTCAGGGGAGACCTCACTGCTCCCTACAACTGCCTGAAAGGAGCTGGTGGGGATGGGCCTCTGCTCCCAGGTAACAGCGATAGGATGAGAGGTGATGGCCTTAAAATGCCCTGGAGGATGTTCAGGTTGGATATTAGGAAAAATTTCCTCTCAGAAAGGGCAATAATGCAGTGGCATAGAACTGTGGAGATGTGGCACTGAGGGCTGTGGCTATGGACATGGTAGGGGTGGGTTGGGGTTGGATTTGGGATCTTAAAGGTCTTTTCCAACCTTAATGATTCTGTGATTCTAACAAAAAATTCAATCATCATTCCTTTTCCTGGTCCCCCTGGCTCCTGTGTTCTGAAAACTGCTGAATAGCCATTATCAAATTATTCCTTATTCCCCTGCAACCCTAGGACTTTCCACGTCATCAACCTCTCTTCAAACACGGGCATTCTGATATGACCAAATTTCTATCGCCATTCTCACTTCTGATTACCCAGCTTCCTCATCTCTGTGACTTTTTCCAACTGTTCATGCCGGGAACCAAACCAGCACACACCTTCTGGTTAAACAGAAGTGATGTCTTCTGCTGTAAGGCCTGGGGCACCTGCAGGGATGGGGCACCCACCACTCCGGGCAGCAGCGCAACACTTCACCGCCCTCTGAGTAAAGAATGTCTTCCTTATAGCTAATCCAAACCTCTCTGTTAGTTCAGAGCCACAATTAGCCCTGTCCTATCCCTGGATACCTGCAGGTGTGTGACCGCCCGGCCCAGCCCTGCCATCCCCCTCTCCCACACCTCTGCACGTGTTTTCCCTCGGCTGTCCCGCAGCTCCGCAGCACGGCTCAGTGACTCCGCGAGCGTTGTGCAGAGCTGGAAGCCCGTTGCTATAATTTGAGCTGTTTGCGTCCCTTAATCTGTATTTGTTCCCTCGGAAGCGCAGGGAGACACACGAGGGCAGAGGCACTGGGTAAACACCGCACTCCTCTCCCTGCCGACACACCATTAGCTCCGGGTAAACACAGCCGACTGCCAGCGAGCGGTGGGACGGGCGCCGAGCCGAGGGAAGGCGAGCCGGGCCGCAGAGCCCGGAGCCCACGAACGGCGGCCGTGGGCGGGATCGGCGCGCCGCTATAAGTGCGGCTCCGCTCCAGGAACGCCTGCGCGGCCGGGCTGAGCCGCACCGCGTGGCTGGCGCTGCCGGCGGGCGAAGTGCGGTGAGCCGCAGCCCAGGAGCGCGTTGGCCGCGCTGCGAGCCGGATGCGCGCGCAGTGCTGCGGGTCGGGCGCTGCTGGCACGCTGACCGAGGGCTCCCGGCAGCTGGCGGTGTGACGGCGCCGGGCGATGGCTCGGGCTCAGCTGGGGCTGCCGAGCCCCTTCGCGCAGCCCCCGGTCGGACCGTGCCCCGACTCTGACTTTGACTCTGATTCCGAGGATGCGACCGCGGGCGGTGCAGGGCCCGGCGCTGGGCTGCAGAACCCCTCGCAGGTCATCCATAGTGGCCACTTCATGGTGTCATCCCCGCACCGCGACGCGCTGCCCCACCGGCGTCAGCGCCGCGCCGAGCCCTCGGCGGCCGATCCGCGGAGCATTGACCCGACCCTGACGCGGCTCTTCGAGTGCATGAGCCTGGAGTACAGGTGAGTTCCAGGGCGACTCGCTGATCCCCGGCTCTTTGGAAGCCCACCTGTAAGGCCGCGCTGCCCCGGCCCTGCTGATTGCCCGTTGCTAATTGCTAAGTGCAAACTGATCGATGGCATCCCCGTCTTCTCTTCTGTTGGGCTGTGATGTGATGTCTGCTCACAAAATTCCATCCTGGGAGGTTTCAGGGGGAAGGAGCTGGTGCTGGGGCAGGTCTCATGGAGCCAGCTGGGAAGTTCTTCTTGCCTTGGTGCATCTTACCCGCTCTCCTCCAGGAGAGCCATTGTTACTGCACCGCCTGCAGCTCTCGGCCTTTGTCCATGCATCCCAAAGCTGTACCCACTTGTCATAATGTTGCTCCAGCACTCTGGACGGGATGGCTGCACAGTGCTTTGCCCAGGGCCTCCCGAAAGCTTCTCCCCTTTTTTCCAGCAAAATCAGATGAGTGACTGTCGTTCCTCCAGCCACACAAATCGCGCAGGCCCATGGGGACAGAGACATGCCATCCCACACCTTGGTGACAGCAAGTTGCCTGTGTATTAAAGCCTGGGCCCATGACCTTGGACCACGTCCCCTCTTTCACCAAGACCCCAAGGCTCTGAGCTCTCTTTGGACCTCACAGCAAAACTGTTGGCACAGCTTTCCCAAAATGTCCCAGTGAAAACCTGGGATGGCAATCTCCTATTGATGCCTTGTGAAAACAAAACCTGAGCAAAACAGGCAGGAAGTTCTGCCCATCTCCTGTCCCACACCGGGTCTCATTCAGTTCCTGGCCTCCCTCTGGCATGGTGCATGGTGAGGGCACTCTCAGGAGCTGGTGAGACCAGAGTTCTGCAGGAACAAGGTGGGCTTCAGCACCGGGTGATGCAGCCCACGGTCACTCTTCTTGTTACCAGGGTGACAGCCAAGATGTCACCAGCTGAGTCACCCTGGGTGCCACGCATGAGTGGCACTGATGCACAGGGTAGCCCCACTTCCCTTTGCTGTCACAGCCCTACAGTTGCCCTACTTGCTGCATGGGGCTGGAGATGCTTGCATTGCCTTCATGTGCCCCCGAGCTCCAGAGCTTCTGGGGCAGAAAGGAGAGGAGCAGGTGCAAGTGGCTGGGGGGTGGAGCAGACAGGAGCTGTATGCCGCCCAGAGCTCATGCTGCAGACATGGCCCCATCCCTTCAGGTGTCTTCTGGGCTTCTTTTCCCTCCTGCACTGAGCATGACAGTGCGTGCAGCAGCCCCAGGGCCATCATCGTGCCAAGCCATAGCTTGGTCGCCCTCAGCAAGGAGAGTTCACAACAGCTACAAAGTGTTAATGGCACCCTTGTTGGCCATCCCAGAGCCTGGACCATCAGCAATATCACCTGGCTGCCTTGTTCAGCATCCATGGGAGCAGCTTTTGGTTGGCCCAGGATTAAGAGTAGCTGTGGGTAGTGGAATCCAGCCAGGGAAATTTTGCTTCTAGACTGTACCCAAATTCACCTTTGGTTCTTCCCTTTCATGGATGCCTTTTTGTCCTTCCATGCTACCCCTGTCCATCTCACAGACATCATGTTGTGCAGCTTTCCAGTACCCTAAAAAGAGAGTCATACCAATCAGAGCTCAGGTTCTGCCTCCTTTGGAGGCTAAGGACTGAGAAATGATCACTTCTCAGCCCACCTGGGACTGGCACTGTCCCTCCTGCCACAGAACAAGGAGGGGCTCTGCTGCTGCTGCTGCCCACTGCTCCCATGTGGTGGGAAGGCCGGGGGGGCTCATGTTGGCAAGGAGGGCCATCCCTTGGCCTTCTCCCCCTGCTGCAGCCCATTTCCTTCATGCACCAACTCATTCCTTCCCCCTCCTCTTGGCATGGACAGTGAGCAAAATACTCATTTTACCGCACAGTGGGAGCTGCAACACTTGAACTTCTGGGCAGGCTGAATGCATCATGGAGCAGACAGGAGCTGCTGGCTGCGGTGCCAGGACCGGGCACAGGCTGAGCTCTGTATGCCACAGCTGGTGGTGGGGTTCATGATCCCATCCCTGCAGGGCAGCAGGACACTTGTACTGTGCCAAGGTGCTGCTGCATCCCAGTCTTCTTGTGGTTCAGTGCAGCGTTCACATCCATCTCCTCTGGGCAGAATTTCAGTAAAGGGTGGGGCGTCCTTCAAGGCAAACCAGTGTGCAAAGATCAGCCTGATAAGCTCCAAAACAGAAAGGAGAGATTCTCATTAATGGGAGAAAGAAAGCAGGTTGTGGCGAGGCCCAGAGGCATCTCCCTCCCATCCCCAGGTCCCGAAGCACACTGCAGCCCCACCAACCCCATGCAGGGCCATACACCCTGCTGTGGTGCATGGCTGGGGCTGTGGGCTTGGGCTGCTCCTTTAAGCCAGTGGGCGGCGTGGGCAGCACCAGAGAGGAGTGTGGCTAGTAGCCTTGACCAGCAGGAGCTGGCCACGTGCCGGGGAAAGCCGTCCTTTCCATTGGCTCCTCTGCTTGGCAACACCATGCTGTTTGTTTTGTGCCACGGGGAAAGTTCAAAATCCCTGCTGATAGCAGAGTGGCCAGTGCAGAGACAGGGCCTTAACCCTCTTTAGGCCAGAGTGGTGGGGACAGGGTCCTTCCTGGGCCACAGGGCTGGGCGCAGAGCATCTCTCCCTGTCCTTCCTGCGGGCGAGAGCTCTGTCCCCCAGATGTGCTCCTACATCAGCAATTGGGGAACCACAGGGATCTCTGCTCCTCCCAGCCTAGCAGTGTCTGCCTGTAGCAGGGAGAGCGGCCAAATAAGCCACTTTGCTCTGCAAAGCTGAGGGACAGGGTGCTCTGGGGTCTTGGCAGCAGCAATGGGGGAGCCCTGACAGAAGCACTGCAGAGATGAGGCCAAGCAATAGCAGTGCTGAGCTCTCTGAGGAAACCCTGCTGTCACCTGCTGAGTGCTTCAGAGATGTTGCATAAGGTATGGCACACCTACCAAGCCCAGCCGTGACCTCATCTCCTCACTGCATGCACAGGGGTCAGTGGGATCCAGAGCAGCAAAGAGATCATTAAGGGACAACCTTTTGACTGGGGAGGAGTACATACACAGCGCTCCATGTGCGGATGCTGTCCCTCAGGAGCAGCTTTGGTACAGCCATGAGAGCAGCCAGCATCACCTGGGGAAGGTCAGGAATCCCTGCAGCTGGGGATTCCCACCTCAGAGCCACATCTGCAGACTTGGGCAATCAGTTCCTCTGCCTGCCATGCTGTGATCCCAGGGGCTCTGGAGGCCTTGCGGGATCAGCAAAGCTCCCAGATTGGGGTTGTGCTGGGGGTCCCAGCATGGTCCTCTTCAGCTCCTCCTCTACTCGGTGTTGCAGTGGGAAGCTGGTGTCACCAAAGTGGAAGAATTTCAAGGGGCAGCGGCTGCTTTGCCGGGATAAAATCCGCCTCAACAATGCCATCTGGAGAGCGTGGTACATCCAGTGTGAGTACAGGGCCGGAGCCTGCTCCTCCTGCTGAGCACCCGGCTACCCTGCAGTGGCACAGTGGGTGCCCAGCCCTGCAGGCAGCCCACCATATCAGCACCCAGACACACGGGTACCCTCCCCTGCGCAGGGAGGGAGCTGCAGACGAAGCCAACTGTGTTTTCCCCTGAGCAGATGTGGAGCAGAGGAAGAACCCTGTGTGTGGTTTCATCACCCCCTTGGAGGGGTCAGAAGCTGATGAGCACCGCAAACCAGAGGTAGAGTGTGGGCTCTCATGGCACCCGGAGCTGGGAGTGGGTGAGGGGGGCACAGTGAGGAGCTGAGGACACCGCTGGCAGCAGAACTCCCATCTTCGCTTTCTGTGTTCATGCAGTTTGAGGGGGAAGGTGTTGGTGATGTGACCTGAGGACAACAGTCCCGACTGTGGGGTGCCTGGGGCAGGCATGGGCTGGCTGTGGGTGTGGGGCTGGGGGTCGGCCCTGGGGTGCTGTACGGCCATGAGCTCCAGTATTGCCCCTCCAGGCCGTGGTGCTGGAGGGCAACTACTGGAAACGGCGCATTGAGGTGGTGATGAGGGAGTACCACAGGTGGAGGACCTACTACAAGAAGCGGGTGAGTGGCTCTGCCCCTGCTGCTGCTGGCGGTGGTGCGATACGTCGGCGTGCCCAAAATGGAGCTGACGGTTGTCCCCGCGGTGATGGTGGAGGGGTTTTGGTGGGCCCCATCTCTGGCCATGCGCAGTGCCGCAGCGCACTCTGGCAGCCCGGATCGGGCTGGCTCTGCCCGGTGTGCTGCTCGGCCAAGGTTGGGCTTGGCAGTGCACCTGCAGTGCACGTGCTGCAGTGGGACGAGCAGGACTCGCTGCGGGGCCCGAGCTGGGCTGGGATTCGCTGGCAGCCGCAGCTCAGCCAGGCAGCACGTGTAACAAGGCCTGGTGTCCCGGTGTCACCCCGGTGTCACTCTCGGCTGTGATAATCTAGTGGTGGTTTAGGTGGCACCAGCTTTGGCCGCCTGCCACACGGGGTGGAGCGCGGTGCCAGCCTCCTCCCTCCCTCATCTTGAAAAGGCAGGGGCGCAGCCCTGCACCACTGCACCCTGAGCGCTGAGGGCAGATGTGAAGCAGTGGCAACCCAGCCAGAGCCTGAGCAGGCAGCGCGGTCCTGCGGGCTGCCAGGAGGTGACTGAGGGGCAGGAGCACATGGCCTGCTGCTCCCTCACCCTGCCCAGCTCTGCCCTGCACCCATCCTTGCTGGGGGCCGATTCAGGCTTTCTTCTCCTTCCAGCTCCGAAAGTCCAGCCGGGAGGGAGAGCTCTTCAGCCCGAAGCAGGTGAGTCTGCTGGGGAAGGGCAGGCAGGGATGGTGGGATGTGGTGCGCATCCCTGCACCAGGCAGCTTGGGAGAAGGGCAGTTGAAAGCTATTGTTGGTGATGACCCTGATGGCAGCACTTGGGATGCTGAATGGCTCTTTAGGAGCACCAGCGAATCAAGCTGGAGGCCTCAGGTTGCCTACAAGAAGTGCCCACCAGCTCCATCTCATGTAGGACGAGGATGCCTGGAAACCAACGGAGAAATGGTGCAACCAGCTCTTCTGCAACGTGGTGCCCATGCTGCTGGGGGACGAGGAGGAGGAGCCGGGGGGTAGGCAGCACTTTGACTTGGACACGTTCCTCTCGGACATCTCTGACACCCTCTTCACCATGACACAGATGCCCAGCACCCACCAGGAGCTCCCCGAGGACGGTAGGTGACCCCCATGGGGCCATGCTCTTACTGGAGGAGGAGGAGGAGCAGGCAAACAGCTCACTCATGGCACATTGCTGCCTCTTGGCTTTGCACCAAAAGCTGCAGCCTTGCCCAGGAGTTTCTGGGCCTGAATAAGGCTCCAGAGATGCTGCTGGGCAGAATGGTGGGAATAGGATATCCTCAGAGGTTGGGTCCTTGTGCTGTAGGGCAGGGTGTAGCCATACAGGGTGAGGCTGGCTACTGGGATGGCTGTTGGTGAGGCAGCAGTGCCAGCCCTGAGGTGGGAGCTGGGAATGCAGCACCCTAACTTTGCAGCTCTGTCTTCTTCCAGCGTATATTGGGAATGCTGACATGATCCAGCCAGACCTGGCACCTCTGCAGCCCAGCTTGGATGATACCATGGAGATATCAGGTAAAAGCCAGCCTGGGTGTGGCCCCACATCTGTGCAGCTCTGCACACCTTGCAGCCCAACACAGAGCTGAGTTGGCCTGGAAGCAGCAGGTGCTACTGGGGAGCCAGAAAGCACATCTGCTGTCATGGGCAAAGCAGCAGAGGGATGGGAAGGGGCTGGGAGCCATGGAAAGGGGCTTCTGCAAGCAGGTCACGTCAGGAATGTGAAGCTACCTGGGCTTGGCTGCAGACAGAGGACAGTTATCCCCACAGACGGTGGAAACCTCTAGGGAGCAGGTTCTCTGCCACTGTTCCTCTCCTCACTGCTGTCTCGCTGGTGGCCCTGTGCAGAGCTGCTGAGACCCCACGATGGGCTGTGTTACGTGCTCTGAGGATGGCTCACAGCCCCTGCCAGGTTGGCCTTGAAAACCAAGTGGCACTGGTGTCCAGGACCGGCAAAGGGTTGCTGAGGGGCAAGCAGGGAACAAGCAGGCCATCCTGGTAGCACCTCCTCTCACAGTGCTACCAGCAGGACCTGCCTGTGACACAGGACACTCTGCTGGAGCAGTGCGCTGTAGAGTCAGTCAGGATGTGTCCTTGTCACATGTACGCTGTGCAGTGTACCCACGGGCTGTGCCAGGGCCCGGCACTGCTGGTGTGTGCCACATCGGAGGCCTCAAATATGCTGGAGCTGGTGGCATGGGCACACTTTGCAGGGTGGGACCCTGCAAGCGGCCTCAGGCAGCACCAGGCCTCAGGAGCCCTTGGAACTTGTCCATGCCCTGCACAGAGCCTGCCCAAGGCTCCTGCCATGCTGCAGCCGCATCCACCTCCCACTTCCCTCTGCTGGAGGAAGCACAGGCCCTTGCACCACACAGCCGCTGGCTGATGCAAGACCAGATGCTGGTAGGGAGCAGGGCAGCCACAGGGCAGGCTGCTGTGCCAAGGTGAGAAGCCCAGGGGTGCAGCCCTCACAACTTCTTGCCCCCACATGGCCCTGTGGGCTGAGCCATGAGCAAACCTCAGAGGGGTCAGAATGACACCTGAGAAGTGTCCTTCCCTTCGTATACCCCGTGTGGAGCTGGAAGGCTGTGCTGACCCCTGAAGCAGCACCTCCTGACAGTGACACAGACCCAGTACCTCTGTCCGTGGGCAACGTTCCCTCTGGTGCTGCTGGCATGGGAACAGCGTGGCACAGCCTGGCGCCCAGCAGAGAATGGCACGTGGCACTGTGGTGCCCATCCAAAGCAATGTATTTCTATGTGCATTTTCCCCAGGGTGCTGCCTGGGATAAAGCCTCAGCACTGTGATGCAAGATCACAGTGGAGGTGTGGGTTGTGCAGGGTTGCAGCTGTGGCTACAGGGCTGTGGGTTGAGAGGATGAAGAGCCCCTTCTCAGGAAGAGGGCTGCTGCCAAACGCTGGGCGCTGAGCTGGAATGCCCCCAGCCCTGAATGATGCCCCCGCAGCCGCTTTTGCTGGCTTTTGCTAGGCCATGTACACATGGCCTAGGTCTGTGCCTCACAAACAAGGCCAGCAGGGCAGAGCAGGGGCTCAGGGCTCCTGTAGGGTCACGGGGCCATTGCTGTGTCTGGGGACCGTCACTGAGCTCAGTGCCTGTCAGTCAGCAAGCACAAGCCAATCCCTAAATGAGGAACCACATCGTGTCCTCAGTGGGTGCCAGAGCACAGTGTGGGGCGGATGGAGAAGTCCTGATGGCAGAGGCGAGGGAGCAGCCCAGCCCTGTGCCTGAGTGCTGCTGGCACTGCGCTCCAGGTAGGACCTGCACTGCTCACTGGGGCCTGGGGCTGGGCCATGGCACTGCCGAGCTCTCCCAGAGCCAAGAGCCAACAATGGAGTGTCCCAGCCTTGGGAGCAGGCTCTGTAACAGGGGTCTCTTTGGAGAGCAGCCCGGTATTGGAGCAGAATGCTGAAGGCATGGTGTGCTGACCACATGGGCTCTCATCCTCCAGGCGGCATCATGCCCTGGCTTCACTGCACAGCTTGGCAGTGGGTCGGGGCAGTGTGAGTGGAGAGAAGCATAGGTGAGAGCTGCAGGGTGGGGAAGGGATGGGTGAGGTGGAGGGCGGAGGGCTGTTGTGCCAGACAGCATCCACCACCCACTGTGGCAGCACAGCAAGCAACACAAGAGGAATTGAATCTGCAGAGCTGGGCATCAGAAACGCCTTAAATGCATGCATAGCTTTGGTGCCGGCAGCAGGAGATGGCATGGTGTGGGCAGGAGATGGCATGGTGTGGGCAGGAGATGGCATGGTGTGCGCAGGAGATGGCATGGTGTGCACAGGAGATGGCATGGTGTGCACAGGAAGGGCACAGATGAGGGCTGGGGGCAGTGTGGGGCCAGGTGCCGCACGCCATTGGGCTGCAATCAGGCCTGGCTGTGCCCCTGTGCAAACCAAGGACCGGCCCTGGAGGGCAGTTGTGGCTCTGTGGTGCTCTGAGCGCTCAATGTGTCCCAGCCCCGGTCTGGGTGGGACTGGGAGCAGGCAGAGTTCAGCTCTGAGGAGGAGGATGAACTGCTGCCCTGGAGGATGGTGGAGCTGGGAGGCTCTGAGTGCCTTGGAAGCCATTACAAGCACGGGAGTGCTTGTGCAGACAGCAGCCGACTGCCTGTAGCCGTGGGCTGGAAGCACAGTGGCAGTGCTGCTGCCTATCCCTGTGAGAGGTGTGCAGCTGACCACCATTCCCAGCCAGGGCACATGGGCTGCAGCCGCTGTGTGCAGGGCTGGGAGGGAAGGGGCTGTGTCAGGGCTGAGCAGAGCAGGTGCAGCGTGCTGTGTGACACTGCTGCGATGGTCATGGCATTTCCCTCTGCAGGCGCATTTGTTCCTCAGGTATAGATTCAGAAAGGTGTCAGGCCCAGAGGCTTTGGCTGTTCCAGCCAGGGCACCCCAGGCACGGGAGCCTGTGCCAGAGCCTGGAGGAGCCCCCGCAGCATGATTGGCACCAGGGGCATATTGGATGGGCAGGAGCAGCCCAGAAGGGCTCAGGGCAGTGAGAGCCTGGGCCTGCACTGGAGTACACACAACGGTGTGAATGCTCATGAGCTGGAGCAGCTGCTTGGATGCAGAACCCATGCCGGAGGCTGTCAGGTGGCCTGCAAATCCACCCAGCACTCCCACTCTATCTTACAGGGAAATGCATGGCCAGCAGCCCATCCTCCCCAGTCACCTTCACCAGAGAAAGCCCTCCTGGTAGCTGGCACAGTGCCGGCGGGCCCCATCACCGAGCAGACCTGTGTGGAGTGATGTGCCTGCAAAGCGCGTTTCAGTGGGGAGGTGATGCCCCAGGCAGCAGGCAGCACTCCGTGCCACGGCGTCTGGGCCTGCGGAAGCATCGGGGCTGTGGGAAGAAGACAGGAAGGGAGAGGGAGTCGTGGCTGGGTCACGGGGCTCAGCTTCGGGAAGGCCATGGGATGTGGTTAGCCACAGGCAACACGCACAGCAGCACTGGGGCTGGGAGGCAAACGCTTGCACCAACTCCAGTGGGACTGTCCCCTGCAGCTCCAGGACAGTGCGACTCACAGGGCTGCCCCACATCTGCCCGAAGCCAGCTCTGCCAGTGCCCCACAGCACAGGGGCTCAGTTACTGCACTGCTCAGGGCTGGCTGTGGTGGTGCAGGGAGAGCTTGGACTCCTGAGAGCAGCCAGAGCGTGCAGTCTCAGCTGGGTGTTGGGGATGGGGTCTCCACCCCTGGGTGGTGTTCCTGGGCGGGTTTTCCTGTCCCAGTATGCATGGCAAGGCTGGGCTGAGCGCGTGAGCTGCCTCTTCCCTCCCACCATGTGAAGCTCTGATGTTTCACAACCAGGGCACCAAATCTGCCCGCACAGCCAGGAGCTGGTCCGGCCCTGCCAGGTGAACGTGAGGCCAGCAAATCCCTGCCAGTCCTGGACACAGCATGCGGCTCCCTCCAGCCTGCCCCAACCTTGCATCCCCCTCTCCAGGGACAGAAGCACTCCCCAGGCTCCCACCACCCATCACCATCTCTCTGCTTCACCCCACAGATATTTTCATCAGTCATCGGCCACTGCCTGCACAGATGCCGCTGGGCTATCAGGAGCCGCCCTGCTTTGAGCCCCTCTATGGCAGTGGAGGGACCATGCCTGCCAACCCTGATGCCCCGCTCCCACCCAACCCTCTCCTCCAGGTGAGCGGGACCCTAGCCCAAGACCTGTGGCCGCCAGTGCCTGAGCCACCCCTCCTGACACAGCCGTGTCCCCCACAGCCTGGTGACGCCACCCAACTCAGCCTCCACGGTGCCTTCTTTGGCCCTGAGCAGCCGCCACTGGCCCCCGAGCCCCTCACCGCTGTGCCTGGCTGCCTCAGCCCCCAGCTCAAACCCAAGCCCTTGCTGCAGTATGGTTTCCCCAGCAAGTGCCTTGGCACGGAGCCACTCAGCCTCCCTTACACTGCCCCCAGCCAGGCCCCCGGCGCATCATTACTGGGCTCACAAGCACCGTTTTCCCCTGCCTCCGCACCCCACTCCAAGTTTCCCCTCACCACCTCGCCCAGCCCTTCGCTCCTTGCCCACCCTGCATCCCCGCTGTCCGTACCATGCTTGGCCCAGCACACCCCGGGCCTGGGCTACGCCATGGACGTGGTGCCCCTAGGGTACCCCAGCCCAGCTGCGCCCCAGCACCTGCCCCCCGCCGCACCACCTGGGCCCAGGTTTGCTACCCCAAAAGGGCCGACCCTGGGTGAGCGGCCGAAGACGAAGGCCATCAGCACGAAGGCAAAGAGGCCACCAGGTCCCCCTGTGACTCCACACCTGACAGTGTCCAACGCCTGCCTGACTCAGCTGCTGGCCACAGGTGAGGGGCAGCAGGGGAATCGAGGGTGGCAGTGTTGGGGTGATGTGGAGGTAAGCAGGAGTGCTCGGGGGTGCTGGGAGAGGTGGGCTGCTTCCTGCAGCTGTCACAGCCTTCCCCAGGGCAGATGGACAGATGGGCTGGTGCTCAGGGCTGGCACCACCATGGAGCAGGAAAATGTCACCAAAGCACCAACAGCCCGATGCAGAAGTGCCCTTCTGCTCTCTGACTTCTCACAGCCAAGCAGGAGCCAGCCTTCGATGCCCCACAAGTGCATGGCCCCACACTCATGCCTGCGTCCCCAGCCTCTCCGGTAAGCACCCACCTATCTCCAGGTTGGGGACTGCTCCTTTTGGCTGGGAATTGCCTTCCTGTTGCTGGGGAATGAGGAGAGTGGAGAGGAAGCAACACTGTGTGAAGCCCTTTGCAAAACAGAGTTTGATGTACGTGGGGCTTGTGGCCAGGGTGCTGGGGGGCTCAGAGTGAGGCCAAGTGGGAGTCAGCCCCAGTTAGAGAACTGGCAGAGCAGGGAGAAACCTCACCTTAGGGCCCTGTGGGGCTCCCTCCCCGGTCCCACTGTGGGTTTTGAGTAACCAAAGGGGCTCTGTAAACCTGCCACACATGGGGTGCTGGCCCCAATCTCCCTCCTGCTTCCCTCTGCTTTCTCTCTGCAGCAGAGCGGTGTCCCCGATGTTCCTGCTGTGTTCCTGCCCAGAATGGCCCAGTTGTGCTCGGTGCTGTCTCCTGGCTCCAGCCCTTCGCAGGAGGTGCCTGTGATGCAGGCAGGTGCTGCACCAGGGCCGCTGCGGGTCCCCAAGGTGGAGCGGCTCTCCCCAACATCAGTCTGTGGTGAGTCTGGGTGCCCGCAGGATGCCCCATATCCTGCAGGGAGCTTGAACCAAACACAGTTGTTTGGTTTTTTTCCTGAGAAAGTTCAATTTATTTTTTATTCTACTGCTTATAATTACCCACCTGAATGACAATTATTTCTTTCTGCTGGGGAGGGCGCCGACCTTTCGTCTGGCTCCTTCTCTGGGGGGCAAAACCATAAACAGGAAAGGACAAAATGTAGCAAAATGTCAGAATGTGGTTTTGAAAACCAGAGCTTGGTTTTAAGGCCGGAAGCACCCTGCTTTGACCCACAGAAACCAGACTGGGGCAGGAAGCTCCCTGCTCATTTCCACTTCCAGTTGGGTGCTGTAAACCACAGCCCTCAGGACTCTCTCCTGGTGGTTTCCACTCTGCTGGGAATTTAAAATTTCATGTCCCAGATGCTCCCATTTCTTGTAAAAATGAGAGTGATTTGGGATGACATAGGGCAACAAGATGTGGTCAGACACGGGGCCATCAGCTGAGGGGTTGGCTGCCCCAGAGCCAGGGCAGTACTGCGGTGCTCTCATTCTCCTCAGCGCACCATCTCTCATCCCCCAGGCAGTGACTGGCCCAAGCCTGGCCAGGCATCCCAAGGCGCTGCTCCACCACCCGGTACCACCATCTCCCTGCACCACCCCCCATCCCGTCGGGGCAGGCCTGACTCCAGCAAGGTATGGTGGGAGCGAGTGCTGCCTCTTACAGGGGCAGCTTCTCCATGTGCACCCCCTTCCTGCTGCCCACCACATTCACCCCCACCCTTGATGCACTTGGGGCCAGCCTGTCTCCAATGCAGGGAGAGGCCCAAGGCCATCTCTGCTACCTGCAGATGGAGAGCCGGCGCATCACACACATCTCTGCTGAGCAGAAGAGACGTTTCAACATCAAGCTGGGTTTTGACACACTGCACAGCCTGGTGAGCACGCTGAGTGCCCAGCCCAGCATTAAGGTGAGCACACAGTGCTGCACAGGCTGGTGCTGGGCATGCAGAGACACAGGACAGCACTCGGTGATTACATGGTCCTGGGCTGCGCCAGCAGCCAGCATGCACGGTGTTGTACCTAGGGCCTGTAGCCCGGTGCCAAGGCTCAGCAATGGAGCACATGGCCCCTTGTGCCCTACCTGCCCCAGGAGCTTCCTGCGCCATCCCACCTCTACCACCCTGCAGGTCAGCAAGGCCACCACCCTGCAAAAGACTGCTGAATACATCTGCAAACTGCAGCAGGAGCGGGCAGCCCTCCAGGATGAGGCACAGCGGCTGCGGGAACAGATTGAGGAGCTCAACAGCTCGATCAAGTAGGCAGGCATGGCTTGGGGGGGCAGCAGGGAGCTGCTGCCTGCGTCAGCATAGCCAGGCAGGGCAGATGGCAGTGCCAGGGGCAGCAGGCTGCAGCATCTCTTCTGAGCATAGCCTAGAACCTGTGTTTATCTGTGTTCCCTGTCATGGGGCAATGCTCAAAAAGCAGTGCTGTGTGTGACATGCTGCCCTGAGAACAAGATGCTGCCTGCTTGAGACAGGCAGAGCTACTGAGCCCTGCTGCACACTGGGGTCCTCTTCCCACACGGAGCAGCTGCCGTGTGCCCCAGCCTTGTACCTGTGGCCCCACTGCACTGTTTGTGCCCCACAGCCTGTGCCAGGAACAGCTGCCGGCCACTGGGGTGCCCATCACACGCCAGCGCTTCGACCAGATGCGCAGCATGTTTGACAGCTACGTGCGCTCCTCCACACTGCACAACTGGAAGTTCTGGATTGTATCCTTCGGGCCTGCACAGGCTTCTCACTGCCCCTTCCACCATACACCAGGTCCACTCTCTCCTCCAGCTCTGTGTGGGATCCCTCCTGTTCAAGAGGCTTTAGGGGCAACATGTGGAGGGGACACACTCAGATATTTAGAAGAAACTTCTGTTACAAGAGAGCAACCAGAGTAGGAATAAATGGCCAGTCCCTGGGGAGCAGGGGAGTCACCAGCGGAGCTGAGCTTGGCATTGCCACACAGGCAGTTGCTCCCAATAACTTGTGTTGAGGTGCAGCAGCCATCAGTTAGAGACTGGGAAAGGATCAGACACAAACCCAGGAAAATGATGGTTTCACCTGGGTGGCCAGCGTGGCACACCCTGGAAAACGGGGTTTAGGCTGGATACAAGTCTTTGCATGTTGGAAGGATGGAGGGGGAAGGAATGGTTGCCAGGGTGGTCAGAAGGCTGGGCCATCTTCTCCATGAATGGGGATTACACACATTATAGCCAAGTCTGAAGAGACCATGAGGTTTCCAAACTGCCTGGTGGTAGAGGTGCAGACAGAACAAGCACAGACAGTGGCAAGCAGCTCCTGACACAGGTTTTGGGAGATTGAGTTCCTTCCACAGTACAGTGAGGGTACTGAAGAGGATTCCAGGACATGGGTACGGTGGAGGCACCTGCTGGGGATTATTGCATGCAGTCACCACCCCCCAGCGCTGGGTGTACCCAAGGGAGCACATGTGCTGGCTGTGTGCCCTGCTCTCAGGCACCTGCAGAGGACATGGCAGGAGTTGGCTCTAGACCTTGTTTAGAAGAGCTGTCCTGCATTGGGGCAGCCCTGGCTGCAACATGGGCTGTGGTTCCTGGCCTGGGAGCAACAGGTGGGGCTCCAAGAGCCCCTTCCTGGCTGCTGCCACCGCTGCCACCCTGGAGCCTGCCGAGCTGCACAGGGCACCCAGCGCAGCTGCACCGCAGGCAGAAGGCTGTTCACACCAGACAGGGCACCACAGCCATCACGATGCTTCTCCTTAACCTCTCCAACAGTTCAGCGTCATCATCCGGCCCCTCTTTGAGTCCTTCAACGGCATGGTGTCGACGACCAGCATGGAGAGCCTCACGCAGACGTCCCTGGCCTGGCTAGAGCAGCACTGCTCCCTTCCGGCGCTTCGGCCCTGTACGTGGCTCCGTGCGGCCACACCGCTGCCGATGGAAGCCGGAGGCCCCGGCATAGGCACTGCTCGGTCCCTCCGCCCGTGCTGAGGTTGCGGCGAGACCGGGCCCTGATGTCCCCGCGTCTCCCCGCAGCCATCCTGAGCTCCCTGCGGCAGCTGAGCATCTCCACCTCCATCCTCAGCGATCCCGCCCGAGTTCCCGAGCAGGCGGCGCGGGCCGCGGCCGGAGGCGGCCACTCCTAGCGCCCAGGAGCCGGGCCGGGCAGCACCGACGAGAGACAGCGGAGCAGTTCGGGAGAGGGAGGGAGGGAGGGAGGGAGGGAGGGAAGTGCCACCGCAACACCCTCGCAGCGCTCGCGGAACCCGGCCACGTCCGCACCATAAAGCCCTCGGAACACCGCACCGCGCCGCTCCTCCTTCCGGCCGCGTCGGGCCAGCGGGGCGGGGCGGGGGCGGGGCCAGCAGGGATGTGGGCGGGGCCAGGCGGGAGGGCGCGACACGGAGGGGCGGGGCCGTAGCTCGGCGCACGCGCGCTGTGTGTCGCCGCCCGGCGGCGGTGAGGTGGCGGCTGGAAGATGGAGGCGGCGGCGCTGGGCGCGGGGCTGGGGCTGCTCCTCGCGCTGCTGCTGCTGGCGGCCGCCCTGCGCCGCGCCGCCCCGCGGGGATCGCCCGCCGCCCCGCCGCGGGATGAGGGTGAGTATGAGTGCCTCTTCCTTTCCCCTCCGTCCCGCCCCCCCCGCTGAGCCCCGCTCCCCGCAGGCGCCGGGGCGAACGGCCCCTCCGCCGCCAAGCCCGAGGGCCCCCGGAGGACGAAGCCGCCGGCTCGGGCGCGCAAGGAGAAGCCTCGGCAGCACAGCTTCTCGCACCGCCTGCTGGCCGCCGCCCTCAAGGTACCGCGCCGTCCCCGCCCCGCCGGAGCCGTCCGCCCCGCCGCCCCTGACCGCCGCTCCCCCGCAGGGCCACAGCGGTTCCGTGAGCTGCCTGCACTTCAGCGGCGGCGGCAAGTACCTGGCGTCCTGCGCCGACGATCGCACCGTGCGGCTCTGGAGCACCCGCGACTTCACGGCGCGCGAGCACCGCTGCCTGCGGGCCAACGTGGAGCTGGACCACGCCGAGCTCGTCCGCTTCAGCCCCGACTGCAGGTGGGGCCGGGAACCCCGCCCGCCCCTCGCGGAAGAACCGTGGGGGATCGGCGGCGCCGCCGATGCGGGACCTGCCACGTTAACCGGTGCTCGCCTGGCCGCCCCGGTGCAGGGGCTGTGCGCAGGGAGCTGCGAGGGCTGCGGGCTGGGAAGGCTGCGTGGAAAGCTTTCCTTGGCACTGGTGAAGCGACTCTGCAGAGAGAGGAAGGGATCTCGCTTTCAGGTGTTCTTTTCCATTCGGTGCCGTGGTTGAGCTAATGCGGGGAAAGCTCGGTGCCCTCATAAAACACAACTGATCTGTCACCTTTCCTCCAGGTGCCCCAAAGGACTGATAACTCACCCGCCATAGCTAGGCTGACAGTGGCAACCTGCTGCTTAATGGCTCAGTTACCATCCTTCCACTTAGGGCGTTCATTGTCTGGCTGGCAAATGGAGAGACAATTCGTGTCTATAAAATGACGAAGAAGGACGACGGGAACTTCACCTTCACTGCATCTTCTGAAGACTTCCCAAAGAAACACAAAGCTCCTGTCATTAACATAGGAGTTGCAGAAACAGGTATGACGATGGCAAGCTGCTCACCTGCCGTGGCCCTCCGAATCCACCTTGGTTTCCTTTTTGAGCAACAGCTGCTGGGTTGAAAATGTTAAGAGTTCTTGATTTACTCAAGGCCTGCTTGATTCTCTGTGTTTTTCTGGTTGTTATGTTTTAGCCTTCGTTTACTACTAAGTGAGTTGGAAGACATAATGTGTGGATAGAAATTTCTGTGTAAGCTCAGAATTACCTGATTTGTACAGTGTCTTCTCTTAGGCATTTGGGAACACTGTTGAAAAGAGTTCTGGTCTCAGTATTGAGAGCATTGCTATCCTCTGGCTCGGCAGTCTTGCTTTAGCCAGTGAGAAATGTCTCCAGTGAGTTCATGGATTCAGGAGCATAGGATGTACCTCTGGTATCTCCTAGAATGGAGCCTGAGAAGGGTTAATGTTGATGGCAGAGGGCTTGGTGGATTCATGCTTCAGCTGTGTGACAGTGGACTGTTGGCAGTGGATGGATGCATGTTCCACTATGTAAGAGAAAAGCCCATAAAATTTTAAATGAGGGCTTTGTTTGACTGCAGGAGTGAAAATTGAAACCCTATAACAAGTAGCTTGAAGGTAAATTTGCAACTCAGTGTCCATGCTGAGATGAACAAGGGGAAGCACTGCAAGTGGAAACAAGCAAATACCCAAAATGCTGACAGCACCAGTAATCAGGGACAAAAGTAGTGTGACTTCTAATCAGCTATGAGTCTATAATCCCTGACTTGAAAGCTAGAGATACCTCTTCTGGTTAAAATACAACTTGATCAAGTCTGCTGCATTACCTGAGCAGCATAGTACTGAGCTCTGCAAGAAGGATCTGAAAGATGCTGGGCAGGAAGCTCTCTGGGTTGGCAGCTGTGAGCTGCTGAGTCCTGACTGAACACTAACACATACCCAGGAGGTGAGCCTGCTGGCACGGCTTGTTACTCTGTGCGGGGAGATAAGCACTGATGTTTTCGTGCTGCTTTTGTTTTTCTTGACAGCTCTGATGCAGACAGGTTGCTCTGCTCAGGGACTGTTACAGCTGTTGGTGACTGTGGCAGCTTTAGGCCTAGGAACTCTCCTGATCTTTGCCTTTTCTCCCCCCCTCCTCCCCAGGAAAGTTTATCATGACAGCTTCCAGTGACACTACCATTCTGATCTGGAACCCGAAGGGTGAAGTTCTTGCCAGCGTTAACACTAACCAGATGAACAATGCCTATGCTGCTGTGTCACCCTGTGGGAGGTGAGGGATGTGCAGGTATTCCAGGCTGCTCCTGCTGAGTGGGAAGCCATGAGAATAACCAGGAACCACTCTCCTCCTCAAAGGACATCATCAGTTCAGAACATCTGCAGTTTGCTGTCACTGTAATGCAATTTTCTGAGGGCTCCACGTTTTTCTAATGATTCCTGCTCCCAAGAGGAGTCCCTCTGGGAGTGCTGACTCCCACCTGTAGCCTCAGACATTTGGTGGTTTGTCAGAGTGCCTCAGTACTGCTGCTCCTGTTTACCACCTCCTGAAGCACTGAGGAGAGCAAATGACATTGGCGGTGATGGCAGAGCTGGGCCAGTGCAAACAGTTTGTGCAAAGCAAGTAATGTTCCTAGCACTTGTTTTTAAACTTCTAAATATTAATAACAAAATTGGAATTTTTTATAACCAAGAGGTTACTTCAGGAAAACCTTGTTCTTGGCTCTGTCTCTAACCTGTTGCTGTAGCAGGACAGTTGTTATGCACCAGTTGCAGTGACCCTGTGGGTCAGAGCACTTAAGTTTCTTAATTTTTACTAAGGAGTTTCTGTTAAGGCTGTTAAGTTGTGGAGTTGCCTTGTCCCCTGGTGGCCTTCCATAGTGTTCCCTCTACCAGCCTGGTTTCAGTGAAAATTGAAAACTCTTTTCCAGCAGACCAAAGCAAAGATTTGAATAGAGGTGTCTGGTTAGGACTGATTCACAGAGCCCTGTTTTTTATTTTATTCAGGTTTGTGGCATCATGTGGCTTTACTCCTGATGTAAAGGTTTGGGAAGTGTGTTTTGGCAAGAGCGGAGACTTCCGGGAAGTGACCAGGGCTTTTGAGCTGAAAGGCCACACTGCTGGTGTATATTCCTTCTCCTTCTCTAATGACTCGAGGCGGTAAGTGTGTTATATCACTGTGTGAAGGAGTACCCTAAGGACACGTGTGCCCACCCCTTCCAGTGTGCCTGAATTACCCATTCATACTCAAACCTGCGTGCCCACCCCTGCCCCGGTGCCTCCCTGGGTGTCCAGGGACTGCCTTGGTCCGTCCTCATCCTCCCTGTGGGTTTCCTCCTGTTCTCTGACTGTCCTCCTTGCTCTGGGAGGGGGATGATGACCCCATGTGTACACATTTCCAGGCTCACGTTTTCCAAATCTCTGTCCACAAAGCAAAGGATTCCTGCTTTGTAGATGAAAAGGGAACAGGCGTGACCCACCTCCCTCGCAGTCACGTGTGGTTTGTGTCCTGCCTTTAGGATGGCAACCGTTTCCAAGGACGGGACGTGGAAATTCTGGGACACGGACGTGGAATACAAGAAGCAGCAGGACCCGTACCTGCTGCTGACGGGGCGGTGCGAGGTGTCTGAGCCGTGCCGCATCGCGCTGTCCCCCGACGCTCACATTGCGGCCATCTCGTGCGGCACGAATATCGCCGTGTACAACACGCGCCGAGGGGAGGAGGAGGAGCGCTTTGTCGGCGTTCACGGACAGCACGTCGCAGACTTGGCTTTTGACACCACCGGCCGCTTCTTGGTGTCCTGCGGCGACCGGGCCATCCGTGTGTTCCACAACACCCCCGGCTACCGCGCCGTGGTGGAGGAGATGGAGGCCATGCTGAGAAAAACCACCACCAAAGCCACCCGGGAGCGGCTGGAGCAGCAGATCGCCAGTGCCAGGAAAGCGCTGGCTGCCATCTGCGGCAGGAAGCAATAGCAGCCGCGTGCTGTAAAACAACGGACAGATTGCAATAAAAGAGCGCTCCACGGCTTTCCCTGCCTGCTTTCTGCCCCTAGCAGCACGGAGGGCGCACGCTCCTCTGGGGGGGGGGGGGGGGGGGGGGGGGTCCGCACGGGCCCTCTGAACGGGCCGAGGCCGCAAGGAGCGGCTCCGCTCCTCGGCTGCCGTGAGCGCGACGGCGCGGGGCGGCTGTCGATCCCTGCGGGCGGCGCCGCGCCCCGCCCCGCCCCGCACAAGATGGCGGCCGCTGGCCCCACCTTCGCGCCTCCTCCTCGGGCGCGACGGGCGGGGCGTGCCGCGCAGGCGCAGTGCGCTCTCCGCTCAGCGGGCGCCCCTCCCCTGCCGCCCTCCCCCCGGGCGTGGCGTGCCGTGCGCCGTGACGCTGCGCGCAGTGCGTGGGCGGGGCGCGCGCATGCGCAGGGAACGGCGGCGGGTGCTGCGGAGCCGGGGCTGCCGGGGCTGCGGGCGCCATGTCGGGCCGCTCGGTCCGCGCCGAGACCCGCAGCCGCGCCAAGGATGACATCAAAAAAGTGATGGCGGCCATCGAGCGCGTCCGCAGATGGTGAGAGGCGGGGCACAGGGGGGTGGGGCCTGTAGGCCCGCAGCCAATCACCTCTCCACCCGTCTGCCGGTGGAAGCGCTCCGGGAGCGGGCGCCCAATCAGAGCGCTGCGTGCGGCGGTGGGCGGTGCTAGGGGGCGGCGACCAATCGGCTAGCGAGTCTGGGAGGGAAGCGGAAGGGCGGGTGACGGACAGGCCGGTGGACCAATCACAAGGAGGGGCGGTGGGCCCGCGGTGGGGCGGGAACCGACGTGGACCAGCATTTCCCTGGGCCTATCAGAGCCGCCAGTGCTCTGGGCGGGGTCTGTCAGGTGTGGGCGGGGCGTATCAGAGCCGCGGGTGGGGCTGTGGGCGGGGCCTGCCGCCGCGGTGCCGGGCGCGCTCTGATGCCGTGACCTGCAGGGAGAAGAAGTGGGTGACGGTGGGCGACACTTCACTGCGGATCTTCAAGTGGGTGCCGGTGGCCGACAGCAAGGAGGTGGGTGCCGTGCTGACCTTACCTGGTTGCGCTCCGCGGCCGCTGCTGCAGAGCTGTGTCCCACCTGCCCCTAACGTCGCCTTTTTGTTTTCCTTTCTTTCCTCAAGAAAGAGAAATCCAAATCGAGTGGCGGCGTTGCACGGGAACCCAATGGTTTCCCTGCTGACTCGGCTGCCAACTCCTCACTGCTCCTCGAGTTCCAAGGTGAGTGCAGCCCGCGGCACTGCGGTGTGTGGGACACAAGGTGCGCTCCTCTGATTTGCTCTGATTTACTCAGACTGCCTCTGCGAGCCCACAAGCGGTGTGTGGCGGAGCTGAGCAGCACGCAGGCCGGTTGCTGGAGCAGAACATGGATGTATACCTGTCCCCAGCCTCCCCGCTCAGCCCTCAGTGTGGCCAAGGAGCATCAGGCTATGTGTTAGCACTTCCAGTAGATGCAGGATGTAGGTCAGTGTTGCAAATCTGCAGTTTGGCCCCTGCTTTACCAGGAAAACCAGGGCTGCCTTCTTTTCTGGGGCAGGAGTTGAGTGTTGCTCTGGCGTTAGATTGCTACCTTGCACACAGAAGAGGCACAGAGCTTTTGTACCAAAGTAAGAGGCCTCATCCTTTTGAATGTCTGTGCAGTAGGGAGAGTCTGCGGTGGCCTTATACAAGCTGCAGGTGTGAGATCTGGCAGTGCAGAGCTTTGTGTTGCCCCTGCACACTGCGCTCATTTTTCTGAATAGCTCTGGGTCACTTCTCCTCTGCATATCCCCAGGTAGAATCATGCACTGTCCTGTGCACCAGTTGTATCCTAATGGGGAATGCTGCATTAGGAAGCTTTTGCTGCTGATCAGTGACTTTGTGAATCCTCTGTAGCCTAAACACTGTGCTCTTCCTTTTCCATAAGATTCTGGCTCTCAGTGCTGCCCTTGGCTGCTTGTGCTGCTGGGTCAAGGTACTCTTCTTCACTAGGTGCTGTTTCTGCAGATGAGAACAGCAACCAGAGCTCCCTGTCAGATGTCTACCAGCTCAAGGTGGACAGCAGCCCCAACTCCAGCCCCAGTCCCCAGCAGAGTGAGTCCATGAGTCCTGCCCACACATCTGACTTCCGCACGGATGACTCACAGCCACCCACACTGGGGCAGGAGACTCTGGAAGGTGAGATCCAGGACACCTGGGCATGACTGCTTAGCTGGGAAGAGGGAGGCGTCCAGCTGGACCAGGAAGCCCAGGGAAGGTGCTGCTGGGTTCAGGATAGAGCTGCCTCCTGTGTGCGGCTTGTGGGGCAGGAGGGCTGAGGCACTTCTGCCTGAGGGCTCAGCAAGCTGGGTGCTGCTGTGCACCTGAATCTGCCATATGTTAATCTTCTTTTCCTTCCAGAGCCCTCGCTGCCTTCCTCAGAAGTTGCTGATGAACCTCCCACTCTTACAAAAGAAGAGCCGGTCCCCCTTGAGACTCAGGTAAGGAAGGGAGGATAAAAATCATGTCTAAATGCATATGCACTCATCTTAGTCCTTTCCCCGGGGCACCTTTCTTTGATTTCTCATTATAGTAGAAACATCAAAAAGTCTGACACTGCCCCCAGGAGCTCCCCAGACTTCCTGGCTTCCCAAGTGGTATTGTGGTTCAGTTCAGGTTTTAGGGCATACATTGTGTACAGAAAATATGTGGAGTGGATTAAAGTTATAGTTGACTCCAGGGCTGGAATGGACTCTCTCTCTTGATGCCCAGGGGCTCATTTAGCAGCCTGACTCACAGAGGAGAGCCGAGGCTGTCCCCAAAGGGTGAGACACAGCCTCGTCCATCAGTTCCACATGGCCTTGTGGGCGTGCTGAGCTCCTGTCACGGCTGGTGACCTCTGGCTCTTGCAGGTAACTGAAGAGGAGGAGGACTCTGGTGCACCGCCTCTGAAGAGATTTTGTGCCGATCAGAACTCTGTGTGCCACACAGCCTCGGAGAGCTAGCTTGCCCATCCCCGGGGAGAGCCTTCGCCAGACCCTCGCAGAGCTGCCTGCCCTTCCCTGGGGAATGGGGTGCTTCCCCAGCCTGCCCTTCCCAAGGGACAGGGCACTCCTGCTGCCTCGCCATCCAGCCTGCCCTGCCCTAGGGGCAGGAGCCTCCCACCAGCCCCTGCAGAGGCAGCCTGCAAGTGATTTGCCAAGCTGAATGGGGCTGCCACCAGTACCTGCAAATTTGCCTCTATTTATTGGCTCCTACTCTCCCTGCTGATCTGTGCTGTAGTGGCGTGGGGTCTCTGGTGTGTGGTCTGCATGCGCAGGGGGAGGGATCCTTGGGATGCCCCGCTCTCTGTCACCCCTAACGCACTGGCAGATGCTGTTTGCCTGCTTCTGGATTCACTGTCCACCCTGTCCTGCGTGCTGGGAACAGAAGAGCCATGTCCCACCTGCAGAAAGTGATGTGTCTGCTCCCTTGTGACCATAGTCTGGGGTGTTCCTGCTGTATGTGTGAAGGGCAGAGGAGGGAGGGGGGAGCGCCCTGAGAATGGAGACAACGGCCCTCCGTGCCGCTGGGACACCGTGCAATAAGCTGCTACTAAGCCATTAGTATTGGAAGAGAGAGGAGCGCTGCCATTTTGGAGGGCAGGTACTGAACACATCGGCCGTGCCTGCCGCTTCTCTGCCTCCGGGCCCTCACAGAAGCCTCTGCCCTTGCAGGACAGGCAGGGACTGGAGTGATGTGGGGCTGGGAGGGAGCGGGGCTGCCGGCACTGCCATGTCCCAGCTGGGCCTGCACCCTGCTCCTCTCCTGCCCACCTTGCTCCCCAGGTACGCCCCGTCCCCTATGGACAGGACACAGGAGGGTGCAGGAACCCCCTGCGAGGAACCCCTCGCGTGCCCCCATCCCCCCACTCCCCGCACCAGCACCCCGCTGGGCCCCTCCCCCCCCCGCTGCCACTGCATGTCCCGCCGTCTGTGATCGAGCCTGGCGAAGCCGAAGGTGCGGCCGCGCGTGGAAGTGGAAAGATATTTTAGCACTGAATAGAATATTTTTAAAATTAAACTATTTGAAATACAGTGCTCAGTGACTGCAGGGCGCGCGGGCAACAGGTGCTGCTGGGGTAGGAGCTCGGGAGCAGGCGGTGGGCGCCCAGCCTGAGCTCAGTGCCAGCACTGTGGGCTGTCCCCAGCCAGGCCTGGTGCACCCCAGCATGGTGTGGGCTGGGGCACTGGGGCTTTGCCTTGCACAGGGCCAGTGCTGTTCCCCTGATGGCTTGGTTGGGCTGGGTGTGGAGGCTGCAGGGCCTCACCACGGACAGCTGGGCTCCTCCAGGCTGCATCACAGCGAGCTGCCCTTAAATCCTGTGGTGTCGCACACAGCCATGGTCCTGTAGCAAAACGTGCAGTGCTTGTGTTATACATGATAAGATAGAAATTCAACGTTATTCCATAGCTACAGCTGTGCCTGACCAGTCTGAAAAGCCAGGAGAGGCTGCTGCTCTGTCTGGTCACCCAGAGCAGCCCTGCGTGCAGCCAAGATGCCAGAGCACAGCTCTGTGATGGCAGACGCACATGTGGGAGCCATCCAGACCCAAAGAGCTGCGCAGTGGGAGCTGCCCTGAGCCTCCCTCTCTGTCTGCACACCCCAGGCCCTGGGTTTCCCACCTCAGCCTTACCTTATGCGAGAGAGTCCATTCAATTAGGTTAATTAACACGACATGTCCACAGGTATCTTTGCGGTAGTCTTTGATTTGTCTTTGTGCATTGCAAAGAATGATTCTTATTTTCCAGTTTATTAAATCAAGTGTATAAATCTAAGCCGAAGGTGTGCAGCTCCCTCTGTGTGACCATCACGTGGATTTCATCACTTCTCCTTTCAGGCTCAGTATGGACAGATGGGGCAGCAGCTGTGGGTTAGAGAACAGCCATCTCAGAGTTATGGATAATGGGAAAATGGTTTGGGGAGGGGACTGCAGAAGAGGTGCTGCTAGTTGAGGGAGGGGAGATTTAGGCTGGATGTCAGGGGGAAATTCTTTACAGGGAGAGTGGTGAGGTGCTGAAACAGCTGCCCAGAGAGGCTATGGATGCCCCGTCCCTGGAGGTGTTCAAGGCCAGATTGGATGGGGCCCTGGGCAACCTGGTCTAGCATTAAATGGATGTGGGGGGTTGGAGATTCATGATCTCCATGAATCTTGAGGACCCTTCCAGCCCTGGCCATTCTGTGATTCTGTGATTCTGCTTCAGACTAACATCCTGAGTGCCTGTGACAAAGCAGAGCAGCTGCCAGGCTGCATAGTGCTGAGAGTCGCACCGTTTACCCTGTTGTTTTCCACATCTCTGAATCCTGGATTGCTACAGGGGACCAAGCAGCCCATGATGACTGCAGGCCCAGATAACATTTGGGGGAGAGTTCCAATAATTTCAGTGCCAACTTAATTTCTCCCTTGCTTTGTAAATCTTCAGGAGTGACCAACTTCAGTTCTCCAGCACAGCCACAGGCACCAGTGGTCATTGCATATCAAAGGGCCTTCAACCTCCAATCATGGCTTGGAGCTCTCCAAGTGGCATGATGCTTTGAAGCCCAACCAACTGAAAGGAGACTTCCCAGGAGACCGTATTCCTCTAACTGAAGCCAATAGTTTCAAAACTGCCCGGGAGCTTCCATCCCTCTTGATGAGAACTGCAAAATACTTTTGAAGCTGACTTTGTTAAGATGCAACGTTTCTTCTCCTTTTTCACCTTCAGTGCTAATAACATCTGTAATGATGTCATCAGCACTGCAGTACCTACTGAAACCTCTTCAGAGAGCAGTGAGATCTCATCAGAGATCAGCCTGAGGCTGAGAAAAGCCCTTTGAGTTCTGATGCCCAGTGAGCGCAGTGCTCAGCAAGTGGCTGGTTGCTGCTTTCCCCTTTCTGAGGCTTTCATGTACTTCAGGTGTCAACTAAAACTCACTCTGCATACCTAGTGTGGCTCACTCTTAGCCCTAATCCTTACCCTAAACCTGGCTCCTATGCCTAATCCTAACCTTAAACCTCACCCCTAGCCCTAATCCTAATCCTAACCCTAACCCTAACCTCTAAACCTAACCCTCCTAATAACCCTAACCTAACCTCTAATCTTTACTCTAAATTAAATGCATAAATCTACCCCTAAATCTAAACCTAACCTCATAACCACTATCCCTAACACACAGCCCTAACCCAAACCCTAAACCTAACCCCTAACTCAGAACTAAACCCTAAACCTAACCTAACAATAAGCATCACCCATACCCTAATACTAACTCCCAAACCTAGCACTAAACTCTAAACCTAATCCCTTAACCCTAAATTCTAAATCTAACACAGAACCCTAACTGTAACTCCTAACACTAACCTTTACCAAAACACAAAATCTTAACATTAAATCTAACCCTAAACTCTAGCCCTAATGGTAATGCCAACCCTAACTCTTATCCCAAACCATAACCTAAACCCCAACCATAACCCTAACCTCCGACCCTAACCACTAACCCTAACTATAACTCAAACTTCTAAGCCTAATCCTAAAGGTACTCATAACCCTAAAGAATAAACCCTAAACACTTTAAAACTGAAGCTAATCATAACCCTAAAACTAACCCCTAACTCTAAACCTGTTCCCTAAACCTAACGTCTAACTCCCAACCGTAACCCTAATAACCCTAACTCTAAGCCTAGCCATAACCCCTAACACTAAACCTAACCCTCATAACTCTAACACTAACTTCTGTTTCCTAACCCCAAAGCCCTAACACTGACCTTTAACCCTAACCCCTAACTCCTAAATCTATCCCTAAATCTAACCCTAACTATAACGCTAACCCTAACCCCTAAACCTAACTCCTAACCCCTAACCTTAATTCTAACCCTAATTCCAAAAAAAACCCTAACCACTAACCATAACCCTAATTTTAACACCAAACTCTATCCACTAACTCTAACCCCGTACCCATACCCTTACTCATAACCCTAAACCCTAATCCTAACCCCTATCTCCAACCCTAATCTGTCACCCTATTAATTCAAACCCAACCTCCTAACTCCCTAACCCTAAATCCTAACCTCTAACTTCCAACCCTAACCTGTACCCCTAACCCTAACTCTTACCCCTAACCCAAACCCCTAACTCCTAACAATAACCCTAATGCTAGCCCCTGACCATAAACCTAATAACCCTAACTCTAACCCTAACGCTAATCACTAAAGCCTGACCTTAATCCTAACCCTAATAAAACTAACCCTAGTAATCCTAACCCAAACCCTAACCACTAACCCGTAGCCCTAAGTCTAGCCCCTAACTCCCAATCCTCTGATAACCCTAACCCTAATCATTAACCCCAACCTTAACCCTAACACTAATAACCCTAACTCTAATAACCCTAACCCTAAGAATCCTAACACTAACCCCAACACTAACCTTAACCCCTAACCCTAACTCTAACCATAAGCCCTAAGATGTACCCCTACCCCTAACCCAGCCATTTCCCGCTCCGCCCTTTTGCCGCACCACTTGAGCCCTGCTGTCCTTACAGCTGTTTGCCATGGACACAGCTTGGCAACAAAATAGCCATCTCGAGGAAGGAGTGAATGCTGAAAACAGAAGTGTGAAAACCCCACACACGCATGGCGTGCACCCCGTGCTCATTTCCCACAGACTGAACACACTGTTTGATGAAGCTCAGGTTTGTCCTGAAGACAACCAGTGCTGGCTGGGAGATGACTGGGAATCACAGCGGTGTTTTCTGGGTCTTCTGCACCTCTCCTGATCCGCCCAGCACGGCGCTGGCTGTGGTTGCACACATTCAGAGCTCAGGGAGAGCTGAACGAAGCGGTCCATAATGTGGAAAGACTGTTCAGCGCACCTCTAACGGGGATCGTGCTGCACAAACAGAAGGCAGATATGCCTGATGAAGTGCTGGAAGGGTTGCTGAAGGAGGCTAGATGTGCCAGGTGACCACATAATTAAAATGTACGGGAACATCTGAAGAGTATGTGACCATCAGAGCACCAGTGGCATTGATACCCCGCTGCAACATCCCGCAGAGGATTCAAACGTTCCAACACGACCAGTTTGCCGGGCAGAACGCAACATTTCCCCTCACTGCCATGCGGAGGCGGTGCTTTAGCAGGGGGATCCATGCATTCACATAGTCTTGCAGTTAAACCGCTCCGCAGCTCCTGCCGGGGACGCACGGCGTTTTCTAACAGCGGGTTTTTCCGCAGCCAATCCCTGAGCCGTCCCGCCCAGGGCCGCTCCCAGCGGGTTCTGTGAGCCCCTTTTGGCACAGGCAGCTGTGGCACGTTTTTCCTCATCTCGCTTAACTGGTCGGACTTGAGACGAAAGTCCCCTTCCCATTCACAACGTCGTCGTTCAGCTTCTGTAAAGGTGGCTGTTAGGAAAGACGCTGCTGCCTCTGCTTCCCCGCCTTTTCCCAGGGACGTTCCTTTAATTAGAGCGCTGTTTGTACGTTAGGGCGGTTTTAGCTCTCCTGGAGCTGAGCTGCGTGCAGCACGCGGAGCACCAGCGATCGTGAGTGAGGGATATTTGGTCGTGTTTCTGAATCTGCTGCGATCCCAGAAGCCCAACCCCACTGCGGCAGAACTTCGGGTATCGCGGCGCTTCTCTTTTTGCACTCGAAGAGCGGAGGGGCCGCGCCCTCCCCGTCCTTCCACAACGCATCGATGCCGCACCTGCCAGCCACGCCGACGCCGTCAGCGCGGCGCTCCGCGCCGTGACGGCCGGTCCGAAGCTGCGGAGGCGGCGCGGCCGTACCGCAGCGCCGCAGTGCCCGCAATCCGCCCTGCCCGCCCTGCCCGCGCTCGGCTCCCCGCGGCCGCCAGAGGGCGCTGCCGCCGCCCCGCGTCCCAGGCGACGAAATGGCGGAGCCGCTGTGGAGCGCGGAGGCGGGCGGCGGGCTGTACCGCTCCCGGGACCCCGTGCGCAACCTGCGGCTGCGGTGAGCGCCCGGCTCCGGCTCCGGCTCCGGGTCGCGCTCCCTCTCACGATCCCTCCCTCCTTCCCCGCAGGGTCGCCATCCAACGGGTGACCACCGCCGGGCCCTTCCCGCCGCAGGCCGCGCCGTCCCCGAGCGGCGGCCCCGAGCTGCTGGAGCTGCGCGCCCGCACCGCGCACGGTGCTGCCGGGCGGCCCCCGGCCGAGGAGGAGCGGGCCGAGGTGGGCTGGCAGCAGAAGCTCTTCAGCCAGGTGGGAGCCCTTGCGGGCCGTGCCGGCGCCCCGCAGCCGCCCTTCCCCGGGCTGTGCCGTCCCTCGGGCCGCTTCCCTCCCCTCGTTGCTTTTTTCTGAACGCGTTTCCAGAACCGCAGCCGGCACTCGAGCGTGTGACTGACCGACGCCCCGTTATGCAGACAGAGCCTTTGCCGGGCTCCGTGAACTTCTGTGGCTCTGTCTTCAAGAAATAACTGAAATTTACTCCCCCTGTGATGCTTTTAGTTTGAGGTGGATCTGTACCAAAATGAATCCGCCTGCCAGACTCCCCTGGACCGGCAGTACCACGAAGAGATCCTGAGGCTGGAGAAGGCTGGCGGTCGGAAGAACCACCGCATCTTCACCTACACCGATCACGACCGATTCACCAACCTAGAGGAGGTACCGGCTGGGAGCTCTGCAGAGTCCATACAGCACCACCACAGGGGGATGTTTGTGGTTTTGCAGCCGTGGCAAAATGTGCCAGGTATCCCGGGAGCAGGAGAATGAACTGCTTCTGCAGAGCAGCTTTGCTCCCTGTCCCAGACAGGTTGAGCTCTTCACACTTCAGAGCGATGGGCGGGGACAGCTTGGAGGCATTTGGCTCTGCAGAGCTGTGTTGTTACAGAAATTCTCAGCTGGCACATTGCTGACCAAAGTGAGAATTCTGGACACTGAGTGTAGTCACAGGGCACAAGACTCAATTGGAGCTGCGCACCCGGAGCAGACTTGCTTGCAAGTTTTCTGCATTTTCAGATACGTAGTTACATGTGGTTATCTCATCTCTAATCACAGAATCACAGAATTGCCAGGGTTGGAAGGGACCTCAAGGATCATGAATCTCCAATGCAGGGCCACCAACTTTCCCACCTAATGCTAGACCAGGCTGCCCAGGGCCCCATCCAATCTGGCCTTGAACACCTCCAGGGATGGGGCATCCACAACCTCTCTGGGCAGCCTGTTCCAGTAATCTCATAATATTGCTGAGTGAAACCTAACAAAGCAGCTTTGGATGAATCACTGCAGTGACTCTTCGAGTCAGCCTTTTAATAGTTATGGTGCCAAACACTGGAAAGCACAGGCTGTCAAGGACATGTCAGAGGGGCTGGGATTCTAGGATCTTGGTTGTCTACAAGTCTGCTTTGTACATTGAAGTGGCAGAGTAGCAAGGTCTTTATCTCACGGGTTGGGCTGTCCTTCCAGTCCTTGTGTTCAGCAAGCATCTTTTAGTTTGCATGCTGTTTGAACTAGCAAAATCTAGTAAAATTCCACTGATTGACATAAAATGGAAACTACTATATATATATATACACATACCAACAAAGTCAACTGATTTTCATGCTACAAAGACTGGTTGGTACAATAGTTAGTGGGGGAAAGATCACATTTATAGGTAACCTGCTGGGTGGAACTCAGCTATGCTTTGTCACAAGAGCAGTGAAGGAAATCTGCAGTCTTTAAACAGCTTTTCCTTATACTTGTGTGTATAAATACTTATTCTGGTTTCCAGGGGCAGAGTTGCATTTGAGAGAAAAGTCCTTTTGTAATTAAGCTAGTTCTATTCTGTTTCTCTCTTCCAGCGCTGCCAGAAGGTAACTGACTCAGACTGTGAGATGCCATCATATCTGGCAGAGAGGATGGCCAATGTGAGGAGGAGAAGACAGGACCGTAAGCCACTGTGAGTTCAGACTGAGGCTCAGAACTTGAAGGAGGTTTCCCGGTGTCCCTGCTGCAGGGCAGCCTGTTCTGTGGAAGCTGTTGGCTTGAGCTGTGCTGGATTCAGAATCTGGCAGTTCGACTCCTTGCTGGGGGGGGCTGTGCCAGGCTGCTGGCGTGAGTTCTGCTGACCGTAAGTTGTGCTCTTCTGTTATTGACAGAGAAACGAGTTCTCTCAAGTCAAAAATCATCACCTGGGAGCCCTCAGAAGAATTTATAAAGAACAATCATGTGATTAACACTCCTGTTCAGACTATGTACATCATGGGGGACTTGGGACCTTATGGGAAGTAAGTAAAATCCTGAAGCGATCCTAATTTCCCAGAAGCAAACCCTTCTCCTTACTCAAGTTTCCCACTTCTCTCTTTAGTTGAGGGAATTCCAAGTGCAAATCTGGCTGCCTTTTCTCTCTGCTTCTTACCTCACTGGGGGGTACTGAATGTGTCCCTCCAAAAGGTTTTTTTAAACTAATGTAGGGAAGTACGGGAGTATTTGTGCCTTTCTGTACCTCCATGTGCCTTCACCAGCTCTGCTGTTCCAGAGCAAGTAAGTGTGTGCTCTATTGAGACTTCCTTTGTGTTTCTTGATGTCTTCCATTAGGCTTGGTCAGAGGGAATACGAACACGTTCTTTGTACAATCAAGGTGGATGGCAATGGGGTGATCACAGTGAAGCCTGACTTTACTGGCACCAGGGGAGCCTACTGGTGAGTGGGGCAGGGCTGGTGCTACTCATGGGGCTGAAATTGCTGTCTCTTGGTCAGCAGGGTGGCTCAGCCCTTAAATTAAAGGATATTATTAAGATTTGTACCCGAGATTTCTAAGGCTGTTTCATTCTGGTGCTTGGTGTCATTGTGCACGTGATGTGTTGGGCTCTGGAGCCAGGCACTTGGGGTACAGGCTGTGTATGCACCCAACAAATCTGAGTCTCTTTTTGAGTCACTGATGCTAGCAGGCACTTAGCAATGAGGAGAGGGCCATTAGTGCCCTTGTGTTGCCACACAGGTCTTGCTGGGGGGATTGCTGCCTCAGGATGGCACAGCTGGTGTTGCTGCTTGGGGCTGTTTCTTGTGTGATGCAAGAGTTTTTCTCTGTGTGGTTTGGGTTCTGCAGGATTGAGCTGGGCGGACAGAAGCGAGAGTTGTGGAAATACACCATTGAGAATGCATCTGTGCAAGTGCAGCAGGAGGAGGAGGAGCGTGAGCAGCGTGTGTTCAGAGATGTAAGAACTGGTCTCCACTGATTATATTAATCAGTCCAGATTTGACAGAGGGATCTCAGTCTCTCACATAAGACGTAATTGTTAGTGCTGTAGACACCAAAAACTGGCAAAATGAAAACTGGCAGTGAGTTTCATTGTGCCCAGTGATTTAAGAACTCCGATAAATATTCCCTCTCTGCTTCGTTTCTTACTCTGGGCAGATGGCCATGTCCATTTGCCACTGGTATTAGTTGTGTTGGCCACTGACTGCAGTTGATAGATGTAGTCAGAGTTGATGCAAGAAACCACTCAAACTCATGCCTTTCTAGTGTGCCCTGTCTAAGGTTTTTCTTTCCTTTGGAGCAGGGGATAAACCCTTTCCTTCATCTTCCTGTTGCTGCCTGTGTACTCATCAGATTTCTTGTTGGCTATAATCCTGTTTGGATCTCATTTTGTGCCTTGTGTTTTAGTGTTAAATTTGTAAGCTTCCCTGTTGTTATTGTGGTCAGTAAGGGAATCCTAATTTACCTGCGCTGTGTTGTTTGAGATTTGCTGATTGTAGCTTCTTTTTGTGTAAGATTTGGCTTGGTGAGGTCTTCTCTGAAGTTGGTTTCATGTTATGTAGTTTGCATGGTTTTTTTTTTGTTCAATTCTTACCTCTCTATATCTGCTGCAATAACAGAAAAAACTGTTAGATAAGCCCATCAACAATTTAATTAGCTTTTAAGTTATGATTTTTTGCAGTAATATAAGTAATAACATATAATCAAAAATACACTTTTTCTTATCCTGTTCTGTGTTTTCAGCTGTACAGTCGGCACAGAGAGTACCTCAGCAGCCTGGTAGGCTCAGAATTTGAGATGGTGAGTCCCAGCAGTGCTCAGCAGAGACGTGGTGCCCTGCTGCCTTCCGAGGCTGCTCTCCTGGTCAATGTGGCTGCCGCTTATACCACAGTCTCAAAGATGTCCTTGCTCTTGAGGTGCACTGGCAGCTTTTACGTTGTGGCCTCCTGCTGAAAATTGGGCAGAAAGGTACTGATTTCAAGGGATACTGGAGCCTGCAGAGGTCAAATGCGTCTGTCAGGCTTGCAGCATACTGAGCACTGCATGCATTGGCTGAAGGCCATAGACTGTAGTAAGTTAAGGAAAGATGGTTTATGTATTTGGGGTAGAGATTGCTGTTAAATTCTTGAATCTCATATGCATCTGTGTATCAATTTGTTCATATAAACAGCTCTCCCCATCCCTCAAACTCATGCACAGTTTCCTTGCTCACTAAGTTATCCAGACTGCAATTTTTTTAGCAAAAACGTCTTGTTTGCTAAAGTGAGGAAGTTGTTGTACTCTTTTTTTGTTATTCAGAAGCAATTATCAGTTCATCTGTAGGATTTTTCATTGGAGGGGGATGTGTGTTTCATATCCTTGGGTAACACTGCAGAAGTAATAGGACCATGATTTCATGATTCCTGCAGTTGACTTCTCACTACATTTTACATCCATCTAGAAATCTGTCAAAAACTGATTTACAGAGCAGTGAACTCCTGCAGAATGGGAATTTAGTCTTTTGGGGGATCCTCTGTATGGGAGGAGCCGTCACTTCTGGAAGGGATGTGAGGATGACATGAGAAGTAATGACTCCTCCCTAACAAGTGAATTGAACCACTCAGTGTGATGTATCCTCTCGAGACCTTGCAAGGAGGGAACTGTGTGAAGTTCCAGCAGTGGTCGCTGAGCCCTTTCTCTTGTTTATCTGCTTGTTCTCACAGACTCTTCCTGGTACACTGCGGCTTTTTGTGAATGGAGAAGTAGGTGAGTCTCACTGTGAGCTGTAACTGCAGGGGCAAATCTGCCTGCTGGGACAGCAGAGGCTGTGAAGGGTCCAGAGATTCCTTGTTCATGTCCTGATCCAGAGTAGGTGTTTCTCTAGAAACCTTTGCTGTTTCCCTCTTTTCCCCTGCTCTTGCAGACTAATGTGTTGTGTGGCACTTGCAGGTTAGAGGTTACAAATGCTACAGCTGTTCTGTCCAGACATACAGATATGAATAAAGGGCAACAGTTCAGGGAATTAATAGACGTTATTAAAAAGAGAGCAATTAAATATGTAACCTCCCTAGTCTCGTTAGTTTTATGGGGACAGGGCTAGATTTGAGAAGGAATCATCTCTGAGGACCATATCTGTTACTTTAAGGACCCTGGCCTTTTCCAGCTTCCAGCAGTAACTTTTTCCCCAAAGTGGTTTGGGCTGCCTCTCTCAGATGTCTTCAGTGAATGCTGGAGGAGTTTATATGGAAGTGAGTGGCTGAAATTCATTCTCTTTTTTCAGTTTCAGCTCAAGGCTATGAGTATGACAACCTTTATGTTCATTTCTTTCTAGAGCTGCCTAAATGTGAGTATTCATGGTTCTAGCTGTATCACAACAATTTAAGGAATAAAGCATGCTTTGGCTTATCCTCAGATCAGCTTTGCTAAAAGTTGATAAAAGTTAATGTAGGGGCTGGGATCTAATCAGAGGTCTTCAAAGCTGGAGTGCAGAACTCAATGGTTTGAAGGAAAGAGACATGCTGGGGAGCATCAGCATCTTCCCTTTGTGTCCCTTCCAAATTTGGCTGTATTTGATCCACGGCCTTCTCAGCCAGTGATGACGGTGTCTGGCAAATTAGTGCAGGTTCATTCCTGGTGCTGCAGAGAAGAGCCATCCTGTTTTCTTTGTCTCAGCGATGGCCTTATCTGATTTCGGTGCCCACCACCGTGTTTTCATGTTTTGTGCTGTTTTCAATTTTGGCTGGTAAAGTTCCCAGCACTAACATGTACATCTTGCTTTCTACTTAACCCCCCTGAAGCAATGGCCCTGGCTTCCCTCTGGTTATGCCTTGACGTTTGCCTGAGGAGATATTGCCTGTACTAATAAGTACATTTAGATAAGGTTGTACTCTTGTGATAAGGTGGAGTTGGTAATGTCAGTTCCAGGGTGATCTGGGAAGCAGTCATTGTCTGGAACAAGATGGAGCAGAATGCATGTAAATTCACTGTGGCGAACATCTGGATCTGACTTTCTCCTTCAAGCAGCTCTGAGTTCTTCCTCTCACCCAGAGCATTCATCACTGTACTCACGTTCTTTTCTCCCAGACTGGTCAAGCCCTGCATTTCAGCAGCTGTCAGGAGTGACTCAGACCTGTGCCACCAAGACAGTGGGCTGGGTAAGGACACTTTAAAACCTGCATAGCAGAGTTTCTCTGAGGTGAAATGTGTAACAAGCTACAGATTTATCCTCACGACAGCTCCTTCCAATTGCAGAGCATATTAGGAATCTGCCTCATTGTGGTTGTACTTGACATCTTACACGGCGTTGCTGTGTTCAAATTAAAATTCAGAGCAGTTTAACCTCACTTTTTTCTTCATGCTGTCTGATTTCTTTTGGATCTTTGATTTTTGTGTGCTTTAATGCTCAGAGTTAATGAAGCATTGTTCTGGCTTGCCTGGGAATGGAGTGCACAGAGTCTCTGAACTGATTTCTCAGAATGATTCCCTCCTCCTGTCTGTGTAGTTCAGTTGCTGTCCCCAGCTCTGCTCTCGGATACAGCCACATTTGAATGTTATCAACTTTCTGGTCTTATGTGCTCTAATTTGGATACTATAAAATTCATTGTCATACAGTACATCAGTAAGAATGTTGTTTGAAGTGTTCTATAAAGAACAGGTGTTCTATTAGGGTGTGTAATAATTATGCAAATAGCTGAATTGTCTTTTGAAGTGTGTTGCTCTTTTTCCTTTTCCATTATTTTTAACAGCCTGTTCTATTAACATGGCATTGAGAGTGCATGCAGGTCCTTTCGACGTCATTATTGCTGTCTTTTATCTTTTTCTCCCTGCAGTCTGTGTCCCCTGCAGTACCAGTGATGAACTCTCGTGACAAGGAATCTGACCTCTGTCCTGTTCCTTTCCTAGGATAACGTGGCGTACTTCTGCTACCCCTTCACTTTGGAGATGTTTTTTACCCAAGAGGACGAATCAGAAGGTGTGTCTCCTTGTTTCTCTGAGATGTAAAACTGACTTCTCTTGATTGCATCGTGCCACTCAATGTGTTGATGCTCCTTTGCTAAGGAGAAAGGACAGGTGTAAACAAGGGAATCAAAGAATCATCACTTCCAACCTCTGACTCCACACAGGACCACACAAAAGTCAAACCATTGTTCTAAGAGCATTGTCCAAATGCTTCCTGAACTCTGGCAGGCTTGGTGCTGTGACCACTCAAGGGAAATGTTCATTCAGTGAATGTGCTCCCCATCACCACACAGCCTCTGCACACATGCTATTTTATGCCCTGCCCAGCACTGCATTGCTGTTCTTATGTATTCATTGACATTGCTTTGTTTCCATATTACAGTCAGCTTCATTCATTTGCAGAATGACTTGGATTTTAGTTTGTCTGTCTCAAAATGCCTGGCATGTTGGTCTTCAGTGCCATGTCTGTCGTACTGCATAGAAGGGTGGCTTTCTGCAGTGGAGGAAACAGGCACATTTTTGTACATAGCTAAAACTCTGTGCTGAGTCTAATGTTTGCAGACACAGTCAGTGACCTGTATAATCTTTGTATAGTCCATGTCACTTGGAAATTTCCTGCTCTGTTTTCAGCAGTGCTCCTCTGCTTCCTTTTGCTACTGCTTCACTGTGTTGCTGCTGCTGCTCAGTCCTCACCAGCCCTGCTGCTCTTTGGTTTGCAGTCACTCTGGGCAGCTTTGCAGAATGTCTTGCCACTTGAATGTAATTTATGCATCAAACCAACACTAACAAACTTTCTGCCTAGAATATGATGAGTTTGTTTCACCATGGAGAAAATAAATGCTCGGAGGTCTTTTGGACAATCCAAGTTAATAGTCCCCAGCAGTGATGAGAAAGATCAGAGATAAAAAGACTCCTCTGTTTTGCATCAGTTGTTCGCAAAGTAGTGTCATAACTGCTCAAAGACAACTGAGAAATCAGTTTGATGATTCTCAGAGACTCAACAAAACAAAGACTTTTTCCCAATTTTTTAGCATTTTAGCGATGTGTTTTCATCCTCAAGTCTGAGAGTTCATCTTTTAGATGATAAAACAATCATGGATACATGGTTTGTCATTTTGGGGGAAGTAGAGAAAGGACTCCTTGCTAATGGAGTTTAAGTGTTCAGGAATTTTTTTTCTCTCTGATAGTCTCCCTCTTCATCATTCAAAAAATTGTAATCTGCACCCTTTCCTTGCAGACTGTCTCCCTCAGTGGCCCATTCTCTACTTTGAGGTTCTGTCCCTGGATTTCTGGCAGAGGTATCGTGTTGAAGGATATGGTTCTTTGGTGCTGCCAGCATCTCCAGGTAAAAAAAAAAACAAGTGTCTTTGGGGCAGCATGTTAAGTGTGTAGGGAAATGAGAGTTCAGTGGTTCTCTTGGGACAGCTGCACCTAGTTCTGGGAGGCTTCACCTTTGCATTTTGAAATGAATAGTTTGCTGTCTGTGAAGCAGCAAAGAGTGATGTGATGTGTCCTGCACCTTCTGCCATGTTGAGGAACATTGTGTTCTGCTGTGCTTGCTCTTCCAGTGGTTCTGATGGAGAACTGTAGTGAAAAAGCTCTGCATATCCATCTTTACAATAGCAGTAGGCCTCTCCTGTCCCACATGAAATCCCAGCTCACAGCTAGTCTGACATCATCACATAGTAAAGGGGATAGTTTCAGTGCTGGCTGTGTGATTGGGGCTTGCTCAGTGGAAAATTCTGGAAACCAGTAGGTATTCATCAGTAGATATCCATATGCCATGATGTCCTCTATGTCTTTGGACTGTTGGTCAGTACTGCTAAATTGTCCTGTTGTCTTGTCTCAGGTCTCCACATGCTCACCATCCCTACCTGGCGCCCTGTAGAGCTGGGTACAGTTGCTGAGATGAGGAGATTTTTCATTGGTGGGTCTCCTGAGCTGGAGGACATGACCTACGCCAGGATACCAACAACCTTCAAGGTAGGCTTAGCTATAGAATGTTGCTCTTGCTGGGAAAATGGTGGATTATGCTCTTAGAATCATAGATTCATAGATTATCCCAAGTTGGAAGAGGTCCAAAGGATTATCAAGTCCAGCTCCTGGCTCTACACAGGACTTCCCACAGCTAAAGTGCATGTCCTGTGTCCAGACACTTCTCCAACTCATAGAATCATAGAATCATAGAATGGCCTGGGTTGAAAAGGACCTCAACAGGTTCCAACCCCCTGCAGGGTCAACGTGCAGGGTCGACAACCACCAGACCAGGCTGCCCAGAGCCACATCCAGCCTGGCCTTGAATGCCTCCAGCAATGGGGCATCCACAACCTCCTTGGGCAACCTGTTCCAGTGCCAACCAGTCACGACCCTCTGTGAAAAACTTCCTCTTACTATCTAACTTAAACTTCCCTGTATCAGTTTAAGACCATTCCCCATTGTCCTATCACTATCCACCCTCATAAACAGCTGTTCCCCTTCCTGTTTATATGCTCCCATCTCCAGCAGCTCCAACTTCAGCAGCATGTTCCATGCCCAACAAGCCTCTTAGGGAAGACCTCTCACCATCTTTGTTGTCCTCCTTTGGAATCTCTTGAATAGGTTGATATCTTTCTCCTCTCGTGGCACCCAAGCCAAACACAGTGCTCAAGGTTGAACCCTTCCCCCAGCACTGCACTGGTTAGGTCCTGCCCTCAGCACAGCCTGAAACTGTCTGCTTGTCTCTCTGACGTCAGTTTCTGTTTGAAGTGGGGCAAGGAGTGATTCTGTGACTGCAGGAATGCTTGTCCTGGTGGGGCACACTTATTTCTGCTGGGGTCAACCTGCTGTAATAGGTTACAGGCTGTAGGTACTCTATCTTGTGCTGTTTCTGCAGGGAAAGCATCTGAGCCGCTTTGGTTTTCGCACAGAGACAACAGGGAATGTCACGTTCCGGCTTTACTGCCTGCAGCAGTCCAAGTGAGTGCAGCAAAGTGAGCACAAGCTCTGTCTCATAAGCTCTGTCTTGTGTGCTGTGTTCTTCCAGCCCTGACCTCGAGCTGTACTTTTGTGCAGAGCCTTTCTGGAAACCAGTGCCTTGAGGCATCACATGCAGAGTGTTCTGGACCGGCTTGGAGGCTTCAGCCAGCAGAGCTCTGTCTACAATGTTTTGGGTAGGGTCTTCAGTATTCCTCTGTGTGGAGGGCCTTTGGCTCTCTTTTACCTTCTTTTTACAGGGTGGTCAGGATATTTCAGGAGAATCCATTGCTGGCAGTGGAATTATCCCCCACTGTGAGCTCTCTCTGAGTTAAAGCAGAAGTTTAATGTTCTGACCTGACATTGCTGGAAATTTGAGGAGGCATCAGCCCTGAGCAGGCAGGAGGGATACTCACTCCATGAGGGCAAAGACTGGGCTGGGCTGCCCGGTCTGGCACCAAACACAGCTTGTGGCTGTGGTGCATGGGGTCGATCTCTGATCCGTTATGCACAGAGCAAAGACAGTGCTTGGAAGTGAAGAGAGCAGCAGCAGGCAGGTGGTACTTAGCGAGACTCCTGTTCTGAGAGGCAATGTGCACTGGGCAGAGTTGGCCTTCCACTTCCCTGTGTCTGATGCATTTTGACTTGCTGTCATTTGCTGTGTTGCAGAGGCTTTCCAGCGGGCTCGGCGCCGGATGCAGGAGGCCCGTGAGAGCCTTCCCCAGGACCTCATCAGCACCTCTGCCTCCAGCGTGCAGCAGCCACAGGAACCCTGACTGACAGACTGACAGCCTCTTCTCCATGGCCTGGGGGCAGCCCACATCTCTCTGACAGACGCTCCCAGTAGTCTGGGCAGTAGTCTGTAGCACATCCATTCTGAGAATTGTTGTGTTTCCACAGGTATGCTGTTGTTTCGAGGCATTTTGTTACCAGGCCCTAATGATGGAGCCAGTTGTTCATGTTACTGCTGAGCAGACTAGAATACTTCCATGAGACCTGTGGACTTTTTGAATACTGAATTATAAGTGATTAGAAAAATTTCAAATCTACTTGACTTGATAGATTTACTTCTTGAAGAAGAAAGTGATGTTGAAGGTCAGGGTATGAATGTTGTTTGAGATTTAATTAAATGAATAGTTAACTTAATGATGGTTGTCATCAGCATTTGTAGCTCTAGGTCAGTTTTCAGTAAAATGAATCTGACCACCTGTGATTTAAGACTGATTCATTCCTAGAGAAAGAGAGGGGTCTTCATCACATGGAAACCAAAGCAAGGAAATTATGTGTGACAGTCCAGACTGGAGGAAAGGGTTACGTTCTGTATTCCTTTGTGTCTGTGGAATTTCTGGCTCTTCTGTCTGCAGAGATGGGCAGAAGGACTTTGGGAATACAACTGAAAACTCTCTCTTTAGTTCATAGAAGAGCTGGGTTGGATGTTTTGCAGATGAGAACAGATTGTAACATTTGCACAGCAGCTGAACTTTGAACTGTTAAGCTCTTCATCTGAGCTGCAACTCATTGCTCAGGCTCTGCAATGCACTGCATTGCTTCCTGGGGAAGCATATGTTTACCCAGTTTTTACCCACTTTCTTCTTCTTTTCTCAACCTTTTTTATTCCTCTATTTTTGTTCCTGTCTCATGTTTACAGGAGTGAGGCTACCTGCAGACCAACAGTGATAGGAAGAAAAATCTCAGGCTGAGTGCATCTGAAAAGCCAGAATTCACAGGCAGGACACAAATAGGAACTGGTTTCCTCCTCTTATTCCCCATGTTCCTCCCTAGCAGGGGATGGCTGTCGAGGAGGAGATGCAGCACATAGATGGGCTTGGGATCGAGGTGTGAACTTGACGATGGATGCTGTCACTTAGAAAAGAGGACTTTTGCTTGCCTACCTCACCTGCTACTCCTCCTTTTCAGTAGAAACTGCCAGTGTGGATGAGGAAGCATGGCCTGTTAGCACAGCAGTGTTCTTGGCCCAGCACTGGGTAATGTTTCGTGAATGAGTCAGCTCTCCAGTCTCGCTGGGTGATGTGATGTGACAGATAAGGCATGATGGATATGAATGCTGAGCTCTGGAATAGCAGAACTGAGGCTTCTGTGGTCCCTGGGGATGTGATCACAATTCACAGGGACTGACCCACACTGTGCCCAGGATGAGAAGTGTTCATGGCATACAGAGCTGCTCAGTCAGCTCAGCCTTCTACCTGGGTTTCATGGTTCATGTGGTAGCCCTGTATGTTTATTGCCAGTTCACAAACTATAATTAATTTCTGTTGGAGTGTTTCTGTGTGCTTATCATTGATAGCTGAATCACATCTCTCTGAAGCACTGAATCAGGTCTGAATTAGCAGGTCTGAGAATATCCGTTTTGTTGGGATGGCACTGAGTGCAGAGGACAGACCCCTCTGGTGGGCCTGTGCATGTTGCTGCTGGGCTGAACAGTAAGGTTATGCAGCTGCAGTGAAGTGTGCACAATAATACAAGTTTTGATAGTTAAAACCCTGATCTTACAGAAACGTGAGAGCAAAATTTAAACATAAAAACCAGCTATAACCAAAGAAGCATTCTTTCAGAGGACATGGGGGGTGATTCCCAACCCGCTGCTCACAGCCTCAGCCGGGCACATCAAAGTGCTGCTGCTCCTGAAGATGTTTTAGGGAAAGCCTTCAGCGAGTGCTCTTTGAATATGCCCTTTTGCAAATGAAATTACAGCATTTCCATATTGTGGGCACATGTAGGAAAATGTCACCGATCTTCTAATCAGAACTGGCAGCTGGTGCAGGGCTGTGTTCAGAGCTCACACAGATGCCCGGCTGGGGGGAGCGGGGTTGTGTGTCTGCCAGGTACACACAGATTACATCACAGATGACAGATGGGGACAGACAGAATGGGGGGACACGGATGTTCTTGGGAGGGTGAGGGTGTTCCCTGAGGAGGAGCGTCCCTGGACTCTGCACCAGAGGGCACCTCTGTGGCCATGCGGACTTGAAAGTCAACGGGAGGGGCAGGGAGCTTTGGGGGAGAGGGGTTACTGGGAGTAACTCCCTGGGGGCAGCTGGGGGAGCCGGGGTGCTTGCGAGCTGGGGGTGAAACGGCGGGGCAGGGGAGCGGCCCCCGGTACTGCCACGGCTGCAGCACGGAGCTGCTTTCCGAGCATCGCCTGCTGCTGCTGCAGGGCGGCCGGAGCTGCGGTACCGGCTGCGGTATTGGCGGAGCTGGTGCTGCCCCGAGGGCCTCTGTGGGAGGCTGCGTCCTGCGGCGCTCCTGCTGATGCGCTGCGGTCCGTGCGGGGCTGAAGGCGCCCGGAGCCTCGCAGGCTGCTCCGTAAATAGACGTCGCAAACAAAGGGCGAGGGCGGAGACGTCGGCTCGGCGGAAGAAAAGGCTGCGGGCAGTTGGCAGGGCTCGCAGAATGCAAAGCGGCAGCCTCCGGAGATCCCGGCGTGAACAGAACAGAAAAGGAAAAAACTGGAAATGAGTCATCTGCGCGATGGGGGGACGGCTTTGTACCGCCGTCAGATTCCGGCGATGGGTTTTACTCAACAGAGGAAGACGCGGGGTGCGATAAACTCAATCCGCGCTGCGCCAGCGGAGCTCCCGCGTCCCCCCGGCCCTCCCCGGCCCCGCGTTTTGTGCTGCGGGCTCGGCGGTGCTGCGGCTCCGGGCGGGGAGGGGCGCGGAGATGGGGCTCGGGATGGGTCAGTGCGGTGCGTGGGGACGGAGAGCCCCGTTCGTGGCCGCGCGGTGGCTGTCGGCTCCGCGCCGAGGCGAGCAGCGCCGGCTCTGCCTGCTGCCCGCGCCGCCGGTGATGCTCGTTGTCTCTTCGAGGCACCGCCTGCGTTCTCTGAAGCCGAACCCAACGCTTCAGCGCGCGTCAGAGCGCAGCTGACCGAAGAGACGGCGCACTGCATCGGATCGGGCAAAAAATAAATGGCTGTGGACTCCTGCATCAGAATTACGCGGGTCCTGGCGCGGCACCGTGCTAAAGCAGACGGGGCTGACGCAGTCACAGACTGTGATTAATTCACAGCGTCTTAAATGCTGAAAAAAAAATTATCTGACTTTCAAAATGGTTGTGAGGATTTCTGCAGTGTAAGAGGAATTCCTGTTTGGGTGTTCCGGGTGGGTTCGTGCTGAGCTGCGGGAATGAGGATCGTGGGAAGGTGCTTTTCCCACCGTGTGTCCTCACCCCGGGGGGGGCATCCAGATGTACTTTCGCGTGTCGGCTCAGTTAAGATCACCCCAACATTGGCCCGAGAGACGTTTGTTCAACTGATCTTCAAACGAAGATGGAGACCACAGATCGTTCTTTCCAGATGTTTTGTAGGCACGGAGCACAGCTTTTCCCTTTTGCTCACACCACACAGACGCCCTCCTGGACGCCCAGGAGCCTTCCCTCACCCCCTGCAGCTCTCAGTATCGCGTTTTCCCTCTGCACACCCTCCCCCACGTTGCTCACGGTGCCCGGCCGCCCCGCGGAGCCACGAGCGGAGGACGGCAGCACACCGCCCGTCTCTCGGCACGGCGGGTGCCGGGCGCTGCCCTCCCCGAGCGCTCTGTTCCTCGACGTGCGGCCGCTGTGCCTCGGAGGGCGGCAGTCCCGGTCTGGGGAGGGTCGGGGGGACAGCGCTGCGCAACGATGGGTTCTGCGGGTCTGGGCCGTGGAGGAAGGGGGTGGTGCTGACGCGGGGATCTGGGAGCGGAAGGATGGAGCGCAGCCCCGCTGCGAGGGACGCGGGGTACCGGCGGGCGGGCACGAGCCTGCAGCGCGACCTCGCAGCCCTTCAGCCAACCGTGCCCCGGGTGCGCCCGGCGCAGCGCGGCCGGCAGGGCGAGCAGGGATGCGCTCCTCATCTGCAGCGCCGCGCCCTCACGGGGAGCGCTCAGCGCAGGAGAGACGAGGAGATGTCGGAGCGCAAAGAAACGCTCCCGGGAACGGGACCCCCCGTGCAGAGCGCTGCGGCCGGGAGAAGACAAAAGATCACCGCGAGGGGAGGGAGAGGGGACGGCGGCGACTCCGCAGCCGCGTTACGGGCAGAGCAGCGGGGGCGGCAGCACCGGGGGCGGATTCTCCCCCCGCACCGCCCCGCGCCCCCCCGCGTGCCGCCCCCTCCCGTCGTGCCGCCCCCACCACGTGACCCCCCCCGCCGCTCCCAGAGGTCCGCGGGGCCGTTCCGCGCCGCTCCGCCGCTCTGCGCGCATGTGCCGTGCCCGTACTCCCCCCGCGCGGCCGTTCGGAGCGGGGAACGATGAAGGACCGCACCGGGGAGCTGCGCGCCGTGAGTGCGGGGCGGGGGATGCGGGGCGCTCCCGAATGGGGAGATGGGGAGGGGCTGCTCTCCGCCGCGTTCGCCCCTCCGTCGGCGCCGGTCCCCGCCGATCTCCGCGGCCACGGCGGCGGTGCGGGGCGGTGCGGGGTCGGGTCTCTCCGCGGCCCCCGCGCCCATTTTGCGTTTCTGTTCTCCTCGCTCTGCTGATGTCACGCTGCAGCCCCGCGGCGCGGAGCCGTGCGGGTCCCCGTGCGGGTCCCCGTGCGGGTCCCCGTGCGGGTCCCCGTGCGGGTCCCCGTGCGGGTCCCCGTGCGGGTGTGCGTCCCCGCTGGGAAATGGCTGGTCGGTAACAGCAGAGCCGACGCGCGCGGCTGTCCTCCCGGCGGGGCCCGCGCCCATGTCTGCCCGGAGCGGCGCTGGCGGTGCGTGGGGCGTTTGAGCATCTCTCGGTTCCTCTACGTGGTGGACATGAGGGGAGCAAAAAAAAAAACAAAAAAAAAACGAAATAAGAATCTCCGGAGAGATTTCTCCTCTCTCCTGCGGGAGATCCCCGCTCCGTGGCAGCACCGTGTGCCCGCAGGGGCGGTGCGGAGCCGCTGCTGTGCCGCCACACGGCGCCGTTCGGGGACGGCGGCTCAGCTGTTCCTGTATAGCACCGGTCACAGTGCGGGGATAGGGTGGGATGGGGGAACCTGGATGAGGTGGGATGGGGTGGGATGGAGGAGCCCCGGCAGCTCCGTGCCCCTTTGGGCGGGCTGTGCGCTGCGCTGTGTGCGGTCGGAAACGCGCGGCTGCAAGGCTGCAGGCAGCACTTCGTGCGGCCACCGGCGGTATCGGTGTCTGTAGGTCTTCGGTGACTGTTGGTTGTTGGCTTCCAGTGGGGCTGGGAAAGACCCACCCCGATGGGCTGTCGGACTGTGCCTCCCACGAAGAGCTGCGCGGTG